AACTTCCAGGACTGGTTCAGAAAGTGGCAAGAACGTTGGGGTTAGTGTGTTCCAAGTAAGAGTGTTTTGAGGGGGATTAATACCAACGTATCTTCTACTGTTAAAATTTTTTTAACATTCACTCTATTATTCAATTATACCTCATACATCCTGAAGACATAGCAGCAGTCTTTGTTTGGGCACAAGTGGCACCTCCAATGGCTATAAAAGATCAAGTCTACAGTCCGTATGGAAAGGCATGCATGAAGTTCTGCCCAGGAAGTGGAAAGGTAGCCACTTCTGTTGACACAATTAGCCCTTTCCAAAACCTGCCACTTATGAAGCCTGCCACTCTATCCCTCTATTCTTTCTTTCTTTCTTCCTTTCCTTCTTCCCTCTGCCACTCATCTCTCCCTCCAATGGGAATTCATTATTATAATGAAGTGTTTCTCTCTACCTGAGTAGAAGTGTTTATCTGCACTTCTGGAAATAATGCACTCCAAATGCTAAACACTGTTCCTTTTCTGAAAGTGTTCATTTGGGCTTGCAGGAGGAACACATGGTCCTGGGAGTGTGAGTTTCCTGACAGGCCAAAGAGGCAGTGATCTTCCCAGTTCACATGAGTGTGTTGAACATCTGCACAATGCACCTCTAAAACCTATGAGAAGCAAAACATTTAGATCAAAACTGAATTTAGGGCAAGTAGGCTATTTCGGGACTCAATTTTGCTGCCAATGTTGTATCTGGGAATTGCTGATTTCTTGAGGTGGGTAGTATTTCCCAAAGAGATGCAATTAGGGAGCTGCACTTCAGTGAATGAGGGAAAGCAATTTTAGGGCTTGCTAATGTACCAATGACATTTGCTAGTATATGTGCCTAAGTGGACAAGAAATAAGGGTACCCAGTAAATGTGAATATCAGTTGACATGGGAAATCTGTAACTAAAACACTGGAAAAGGTGGGAGAAGTGGACTCAGTGATATGGAGGCAGAGCTTTTTGTCTAGGCCATACCTCTACATTGAGTGCAAGCCTGGCAAGGAAGTTTCTGCAATAAGAAATCAATATGAGGAATACTGACACCAGCCCCTCCCAGTCCTACCTCAGCCCCACCTGTGAGTGAAGAAATCATAAATCATAAGACAAGAAGGGGAACTTTAGACTTTTGGGAGCCTGTGGGCTTAGGGTATTTTTCCTGTCTTCTTGCTCAAATTTCATGTTGTGACTGGAAGTACCTCCACGGGGAGGCATGTTTGGCCCTGGGGAACTTTGGCCAGAGTGGAGCCCAGAGAAGAGAAGAGAACACTAATAAAGTGCTGGCTTTGCTTTTACTCAAAGCCTAGGGAACAACTGTGAGTAGCACCATCTTTTTAGATGGGCCAGTCCAGTTCTCCAGATAGCTAGCTCTGCATGCATTCTGGTTAGATTATCTCAGAAGGAGGTTTGTGCCCTTGATTTAAGCATACTCTATCTCATGAAAACCAGAAAGTGGTAGATTAGGCACAAGCTGGCAACATTCAGCCAAGCCAAGCACGCCTTCTGAGGGTTGGCTGATCAGAAATTCTGATTCTTCTTAATTACACCAAAAACTCTGTTGCACAGATCAAGGTCAGCTCCAAGTGGATCTTTCTTTCTCTTTCTTCTTCCTTCCTTCCTTCCTTTCTTTCTCTTCTTCTTTCCTTCTCTTCCTTCCTTTTCATTCTCTTTTCTTTCTTCTCTTTCCTCTTTTGTTATCTCTTCTTTCACTGTACATTTTTATTAGTACACATACATGTTAGTACATAGTGATTACATTTCTCACGGGGAGTTGGTAACATGTACATAACACATCCTAATTTTGTTTCCATCCCCTCCCCTTCATCCCACCTTGCTCCTTCCAACTGTCAGTCCCCTTCTCATTTGTAAAAACTATTTTAAGGGGCTTTGGCGGGGGGGATCTTTATTTTTCTTTATTGGTACCAGGAATTGAACTCGGCCTCGCACTTGCCAGGCAGGCAGTGCATCATTGAGCTACGGCCCAAAAGCTCTATTTTTATTTTTTTTCTTTCAATTCATTTTCTCTCCAAGGGACTCACTAAGTTGCCCAGGGAAACGCAAACTTGGGATCCTTCTTCCTCAGCCTACAAATAGCTAACTTTACATGAGTGTGACACCGTATCTAGCCTATCATCTCACCTTTTAATTACCCCATTCCCGTGTCTTTTCCCCTGTACTTTTATATGTTAAAAACAGAACATGTATAAAACCATCAATGGCACAGCACAATATTCAGCACTGTGGAGATTATGGGATGTTGCTAAAAGTCTCTTACTTGGTCAGTACCACTCACTGTCCCAAACAATTTTACCAATTTTTCTATCAAAAAGGGGTCATAGTGGGATGGGGGCAGTAGCTTGCTAGTCTAGCATGCAAAAGGCCCCAGCCTTAGTCCCCAGCAGAGCATAAAAAATGTACATGCTTTGAGCCTTAGCTGTCGGTTGGTGTTAATAAACTATCCAATTAAAATAAAAACATGTAGTTTGCTTTTTTGAACATTTTATAGTGCTAAAGAAAACTGTCGGTAGTATACTCTGCTTTAAGAAAACATGATATAGGGATGTTTGGATTTACAAATAAACTAGGGATACATTACTGAACAAAAAACTTCAACAGAATTTTTTAAAAGCAGAGTTTTCTGGTGCTTTTAAAGGAAAAAGCCTTAATCTATGACTAGTGTTTCAGAACACATCGGTCATATTAATCCATTCACACCTGGCTCACTGCCACACATACATGAGTTTGCTGTCAAAGCGCAGGCCTATTTCCTTAAAGGACTTTTTTTGCAGTGTTGTGCACGGAACCCAATTTCTTGCAAGTGCTATGCAAGCGTTCTACCACTAAGCTACATCCCCAGATTCTAAATGGATCTTCTGAGCAAATATAACCAGTAGGAACAAGAACAAAATACATGTTCCCATAGTTCTCTTTTCTATTCAAGTTCCAACAAAGTGATAAGAAAGGTAATTCATTTCCTAAGGTATGAGTACAGTTTTGTTATGTACAAAGTGAGACAGTAGGAAACTTTTATTAATGAACAAACAACTTTCACAAAGACTGTCTATATTACATTGCTACTACAACATAGATGAGCTGAAACTTTTTTATACAGACTTGAAAGAAGGGAACCCCTAAAAAGAAATCAAGCATATAGAGGTAGTTGAATAGCAATATAGGGGAGAAATATCTTAATTTCCCTTCATTACAGTGCAAGAGTAAAATTACTGCTTGACAAATGGAAAACAAGCACACATCCACAGCTGCCACTGTTTAAGTAGCTTGTTCGACATTTTAATCCTGGCATTACTGAGAACTGCATACAATGACAAAACTAGTTTACCTAAGATAAGCTGATGGTGCCATGTTAAGCTATTTGCTCTCTTTTTATTTCGCTGTTGTTTATTGTCATTGCTTTAACAATAGATGAATGTTAATCAACTTTTAAAATGATGCATAAGCTACAGTGTTGCTTTGTAAACTTCAGTTAATCACATTTGCTGCGAAAAGTTTTGAAAACAGCTACAGAGTCATGAATAGCAAAGCTTTAAAGTGACACCAGGAACAGAGATTACAGGCACTTCTCTCTGGAGGTTAATTTAACATGTTTAAAAAATATCCACTCGTAAGTGAAAAATCTCTTCATCTCAAGTCTGGATGCACATAATCCAGATTATTAAATAGTTAAACTGATAAGTGGAGCTATCACTCTAAAATGGATTGAACGTGTACATTTTACATGGCTCATTTACGTTCCTTCTCTCCGCACTTCGGAGGCAGGGCAAAGTGGAGCCCATGCAGCTGGCTGCTTTTCAGAACTGTCTTTAATCATGAACTAAAATCTTACTCACTAGGCCCAAGCGTAGGCTGAGAACAGGCCCTTTCCCAGTATCTGGTCTGCCTTCCACTGCCATATACCTTTGCTATGATTCTGCCTTGGTGAATAGAAATGGATGCAAAGTCAACAGCAAACTCAAGGAAGGAGGCCCTGAACAAAACGCTCCTGTTGGGAATAGAGTTGGCAGGGGCGACGCAATTCCCAATGGATTGCAGTCCATCAACAGTATGCAATCTGTTGATAGTAGGAGACCTCTGGGTACTATGAACCGGCCTCAGGAGCTCTGCTGCTCCCAAGGCTGGTCACCGGGGATTATCTGAGCCCGGGTCAGCTCCACAGGCAGAGCTTGAAGCATCACACACATAATGACGTGAGTTGACCCTGGTGCTGAGGCAGCACTGGGCTAGAAGCAGATGGCCTTCAGAAAAGGCTAGCTGCTGAAATAGTCAGTTGTGCCCCCCTAAGTCAGGGGCATGCCCTCTTGTCTCCAAGTTGTCTACAGAAAACTAATTTCTTCATTTCTCATTTACTACATTTTGCTGGTTATTAGCTAGCAGCAGTAGTGTGGTACAAAGCAGAAAGGCATAATGTCTGCTTGCAACCTGGTATATGTGTGTCGGTGTGTATACCTATACATACAGAAAATAACCTACCAGGAAAAGACTGAGTCAGTCACAACAAACAGGAAAACCACCCCAATGAGTGGCACTATATACCAAGGGGGAAGTCTTGCTTTTCTGGCCTAGATTTAGAATTACGTCTTTTTTCTATATACTCTTCCTTCATTTCCAAGCTGGACAGCAAAACCAATTTACAAATGGTAAAAATGGTCAAATCCAGTTGATGATTCTGTTCAAGTACAAACCAAAGACAGCCAAGGTTTAGCCTGCCTCCCACCATTACATAAACTTACCATAAAACAACCCACCTATGTCTCTAGGCTACTGACCGTAAAGTGCAATTCTGCCTAACCAAGACTTACATGTGCAGGAGTTGAGTGCTCTCTTGTCAAGGAGCATTCTATGATTTAAAACTTTATTGAGAAATCAAACTTCCACTTTGAAGACATCAATAAGTAATACAACAACCATGGTTAATTTCCTACAACTTTGTCTGTAACTCTGTTTTGTTTGTATTGTTCTTATGCTATTTTGTAAATGGATGTCTGTCTGTTAATATGTTTTCCTGCTTTTATTTTTTATAATAAAAAAGAGAAAAAAGAAATCAAGCTTCATTTTTTACTTAATAGAAATGTGCTGGATAAGTGAATTTTACTTTATCTGCATCTTCCCATTGGGAGCTTCTAGGGTGCCATGTCTGTTAAATAAAATTATGTGTAACACAAACTATTTAAAATTTTTTAAATCTGCAAAGAAATGCATTCAAAATCAAGCTCAGCTATTTACCAGAGGACCACATGACCTTGGCAAAGTATTTATCATTTTTGACCTCAGTTTTCTTATCCATTATATGGGGATAACTACTCCTAAAAAAGAGATCATTTAATAAACTCAGGTATGGGAGATTATCTGGCTTCATATCTGGCACATGGTGGGATCTCAATACATTTTTTTGAATCTGTTACTTTGGGCAGCATAAAGAAATACTGTTCACCATTTATGAACTAAACACAAAAGTCAGAGATTGTGAAATCCAATCATCCTGGCACAGGTGAGATTCTCAATACATTTTGGAGAACTGGGAGTGATGATTTTGTTTTTCTAATGGAGCAGAATTTAAGGCTTCCTTTCTACCAGACATGCTAGATTTCCAAGCAACACTGCTTTTTAGCAGTTATTAACATAGGAAACCATTTGTTGGCATAGTACTTCTAGTCCTTGCCTCTGACTCTTATTTGTTCTCCAGTCTTTTCACTTTCCCAAACAGAATTCATCCCAGAAGGAACCACCTATAAGCCAACAAGTTATGGTCAAAAATCAGCGGTGCAGATTCCCTCAACCAAATTAAAGGGGTTGCAAGTGGGAACTGCATGTAAAGGCAGTGTTTTATGCAAATATGGCTTTTGAGGATATTCTGTAACTATGACCAATATAGTAATAGCTCTGATTTGTTAAGTATCTCCTCTAGTCAAGCTGCCATGCTAAGGGGCTTCAGGCATATTTCATTTAATGTTCATAACAAGCCTATATGCAGTATTTAGCACTACCATTTCACTGAGGAAATGGGCTCAGCCAAAGTTAAATCACTTGTCAAAGCAACACATTTAGTAAATAGAGAAACTTACGACCTTTTCTTTGTTGTTCTTACACTACAGAATAAAAAACTGCTGCACCTTACAATTTTTTGACCAACTTTACATGATTATATCTGGTAATCTGAACAACTACTTTGAAGATAACAATATGCAATCATCTTGTTTTGAAATTCTGTATCGTTTTTAATGTTTTTTTCTTATTTTTTAGTCTCTTTAAAATTAAAAAAAAGAAACTGTTGCACCAAGACTATGCACACATAGTTGGGCATGGGGGAAGGGGCTCTAATTTCCTGTACCTTGAGCCTTGTAGGGTTTTCCTGGGCAGACAGGTCTTTCCACTCCATCTACTCTACTTGCATTCTTCTCCAACCCAGCCCACTACGAGCATCAAACCTGTTAACATAATGCTCTGCCAACACAGCATCCACTAAGAAGTGAGAAGATAGTATGGTTTCTGCTTACATGAATCTCCTAAATATCATCTGGATCATCTCCTGTGCCCATTCCTGTTTCTGACTACTGGTGGCAGTATAGAAGTTAGACTACAGTTAGTCCCTGACTTATGAACATTCAAGTTGTGAACTTTGATAGGTGTACTGTATAAAACTCATTTTATCTGCCTACATATGAATCCAACTTATGAACAGTTCTCCCGGAACAGAACTTATTCAGTCAGGGACTTATTATAATTACTTGAAGCCTGACCCTCTCACCTGAACAGAGTGAGGGGGCTTCTAGTGAATAACACACCTGTCCAGAATCACACAAGGGAGGGCAATCTACATGAAGGTACAAACACAACAACTCGCTTTTTCCTGGCCCTAACTTTTTCACTCTGACATAATGACTTTCCTATACTCATTATATTTTTCAGGTTCTTTGGACATGAAAGGAATCAAACTACCACTAGGCAAGCTAAATAATGCTTACTTTTACTTCCTTTTTCTTCCCCTATATTGAAATCTTTGGCCCCTTGCAACTAGAAGGAAAGGCAATGTTTTGATAAAACCATAGGTTGTCTGATTGTTTTAAAATACTGTACTTTTAAAGGGTTCTACTTATCTGACTTCTTTACACTTTAAATAACAAATAGTCCTTCATCAAGCCTTTAAGCCCAGGTCTTCATCTTCAGAATAGCGAGCAGAGGTGGGGAGTGCAGGCTAGCTGGGAATGGCTATGAGCTGCTATACTTTCAAAAGCCATCCCTTCTAGTCAGATTGCTGAAATAAATGCCCATAATATGCTGTAATTAAAGACACAATCTAATTATTGTTCTAGAACAATAATCCTTTCAGCCTTGGTCTGTTACACATAGAAAATGGATTATTTTACTTTACCTGGGAATATGCCATAACCTATGCCAAATCATTAAAGTATTTCATGTCATTTAATTAAAACTAGAAAAGCATAATCTGTGACTATGGATCATCTTAGCATCATTTTGAAGTCCTTTTAAACTTCTACTAGGATAGACATGGAAACAGTTCAAGAACTGGGATCAATGTAGTAAAAAGGTTTTGAAGCAAAAATTGCACATTTCTAGTATTGTAATTCCCCCTAGGTACATGGTAAACCACATCAATAAATAAAGCAGTGGCCTTTTAGCAATGTACAGTTAAATAGTTACAAACATACATGTAGAAAAAAGGATACAGTAGTGCAAAAAATAAATTATTAAAACAGAAGTATGAACATTATTTTACACAATGCTCTATAAAACCTGAACCATTTGGAATGAGAACTCAAGTCAGTGAAATAATGCAGCAACATTATTAGTATCTTTGCTTCACATTTCAACCACACAGTCATTCACCTATGAAAGAAAGAAAAACTAAAGCAAATCATGTTAAACTTCCAGAAAATCTTATGTTAAAAACATTTTTTTTCCTGGGCTCTTAAACACTTCTGCAGTTTATGTAGTTGTGCAGCATCTCAAGAAGAATCTTAAGACAGAAAGTTTCAAACAGGTCACATTCATTTGGTCTTTCTACTTGATTTCTCTGTGTGATCAAAAGTAGGGAAACACACCTCTGTTTGATAACCTCTTCTGTTAAGATGTTATTGCAATTAGATATATTTACAAGCAGATCTCCTTCACAAGGAAGCAGGGAGGGTGCGCGGTTCTCTTCAGCAATCCACTCTCACTAGTTTTGGTTTCGGGATATAAAAGCCAGGATTCGCCGAATACCATTCAGCCTATCCTTTAAGGATCTCATTGCGAGAAACGGGAGCTGAGCTCGACTTTCCAAAGGAAGAACAGCTAATGTCCACCAGCACCAGGCTGGGCCGTTCGGGTTAATCTGCAACAGAAAAACACAATGGGTTCATCCTATTCCCATGCAAGCCATAGCACTCTGCAGATTTCCAAAGCCCAAAGTAAATATCCCTGGTCTAACTGCTCCTGTGTGTGGTAGAGACTGCTAATAGCCTCCATATCTACTTCTCCGTTATTTTAGCATGCATATAGCCATGGGGGTGGGTAAGGGCACTTTATTTCTCAGCCTCCTTGCAGCTAAGTGAGGCCATAAGACAAAGTTTTGTCTGAGATATAAAGGGAAGATGTGATCTGGGTAATTTCTGTGTATGCTCTAGGAAAGCGGCATGTGCCCTTTGCCTTCTTTTTTCTCTCCTTTCCCCTAGCTAGATCATAGACATGGTGATGATCAGCCTTCCTCAATTAAGAGGACAGAGGAAACATTCTATAGACAATAGAGATTTGTGATGAAAGAGCCTGGTTCTTTGAATATTCTCATGGAATAGAATGGCCCTAGCCCTGCAGACTTAGGCTTCCTGTCTTGTTTGATACTTATTGAAGCAAACACATTTTTAATACTTATTGAAGCAAACACACCAATATCCTAACAAATAAAAGATGCCTCCTATCCAGTGTGATTTTCTGAGCTAAAATATCTACTACTTAGTTTCTCCCACTTCTGAGATTCTGTTTAGATCCTTTGAACTGATGTACACTTCCGCAGGCCTTTAGTGATTCCTTGGGCTTTGTGAGTCTCCCATCTCCCTTCATTATCTTACTCTGGCTGAAAGCAGTAGTCCAGATATACCAGGATCTACGCAGGGCCTCTGCTATCTTCTCTGCAACCACAAGCTGTGATTTACAGTCTGAAAGAACAGCAGCGTCACGCTGCACAATTTCCAATTAGAAAACGCGTTCGAGCTCCCAGGTTTCCCTTAAAGAGGCTTCTCACCCCATATAAATCCTTTGCCAAGATTCCATTTGTAATGAACTTTCTGAGCATACATTTTAAACGCTGATGACTTATTTCTTACTAAAACTAAAATGAGTTTGCTTCTCACAACTTTCAGAAAGTTGACTTTAGGAGAGAACCATTTTCTTCCTGAACCCCCTCTACCTAGGATTATATGGCTCCAAACTGGTTCATCTGATTCCCCTCAAATCTCTTTGCCCTCTGTGTTTTTTGTGCCTCTTATCTTCATCTGGATTCCTCTTTGTCCTTCACTGCAATCTCTAACATGTTCTGCCCCCTTGATCATTTCTGGATATTAGACTGACACTCTGAACTTTGCCAGAGTCATCAATAAAGATCTTTAACATATGTGGTGGTTTCTAAGAAACTTCCTCCTGAGGCTTAGAATATTCCTGTTCATGGGACTCTAGGGGATGTAGCTTTGGCCACAGCAAACCGTATTAGTTTCAGTTTAAGTTTTTGTCTTTTTTCTGATATCGTCACCACGAAAGATACATAATAACTAGCAAGAAAGGAAATGAAACCCAAGATTTCAGCTTTCCATATCATTAATCCCTTATGAATCACAGTGCGGCATCTGTATTTTCTCCTATGGAAGATGTGGTCAGCATTGCTGATCTCTCTCTTGCCTGACAGGGGGGAATACATCCCAGCAAGTGAAGAGGAACATTAAGCTTGATCATGAGCTTGCTCAGAGCTATGCTGTAGTCCTGAGTCACCATGGCTCAGAGCCAGGAGCTGGGTCACTGAGAAACCCTCACTGGTCCTTCTCCCATCAAATGTCACAATGCTTTTACATATGAAGAGAGGGGCCATCTCCATGGCCTAGAGAATAGCAGGACATTTCAGCCCATTAGGGATAAGATAGGTGGTTTGGAGCCCCAAAATTCAAGAAAAAGAGGGGTCTTTAGAGACTTCTCTATCCACCTCTCTTATTTTAAAGAAAAGGTAAGAAAAAGGAAAGGATTTACCCAAGGTCATGCTGTTCGAAAGGTAAGCAAAACCAGTCTATTAGCAGAGGAGCCAGAATATAATAGATTCATATTTTTCTATTGTGACAGAGTCAAGAATTAGCCTAAGAATCAAAGAAGGCATAGGAATGATAATGTAGGAGAGCCAGCTCAGAGTTTGGGAAGTGGTGGCTGTAAGGAAACATTGCTTCAGGATAGCTCCAGCCTTGTCTTAGGAAGGAAGTCTTTACAAAGCTGGAGTTCTCTGAAAGTACAGCAAGCAAGTAAAGACTGGTGTAACTCTCTCCACTTTCCTGGAGAGCTTGTGACTATGGCTTGATCTCACATATGGGCCTATTCCCTAAGGAAGAAGATCTATCCAGTGGAATCTAGTGAAATATCCTCTTAGATAGTTCAGCCAAGGGCAAATTTAAAGATGGCATCAATCTCAGAACCTGTTCACCCTTGATGTGGACAATAGCAAGGGTTTAGACTGGGAGGGCTGAGCTGGATGGGCATGAATGTGACAAGTTTCTGTGGCCAGCCTTGAATATGTAGCATACTTGGCCCTTTCTCCTAGCTCCTGTACACATCTTGAAACCCTAATGTTACCATGGCATGAATGTGGACTTCCACTGAAGATTTTTCCGCTGCTGGTGCCTATGTTCCATTCCCTCACCTTGTTATCTCTCAACATCTACGTTGGATCCAAGTTCTCACACCTTACTTCAGTTACACCAGTCCTAACTTAGGATCCTTTCGCTCTTACCCATGATGCTCACTGACCAGTTGAACAATACCACTTTGGATCCATCTTCCTCTCTGCATTTATTTGCTGGGTAGAACTCATCTACTCACAAATTTTAGGAACTCCCATCTGGTGGACCAACCCAGTATAAAGAGACATTTTATATACCTGGGGATCTGCATCTTTCTCTGGCATTGGACCAAAGTGATTGAGTATTCGATTCTTCAGAGATGATTTGAGTGAGTGAAACCATGATGATGCTTGCTCGTAGACACAGTTATGCAATCCCATGAGCTCAGCACAGTCTTCTCCCTGAACCTGAAAGAATCACCATGAAGTGCAACATTCTGTATACTCCCCACGCTCCCGAAGTTGCTTCTGACACCTGACTCTCTTTCAGCATCCTAGCTGCCTCCTAGGTGAAATGTGAAACACTCCACAGCCAGGTGCTGGACTGTGTATAAACATGGTTGAGGGGGAGGAAGGGAAAAGTTTGACTGGCTAGAGTAGCTGAAACAGGAAGATACACAAAAAGCCAGAGGCTCAAACAGGCCTGGGAGAAGGCATGTTTTAAAGCATGTAATGATGACTTATACCTCTGTCTTATCCATTTTTACACCTATCTTCCCATTGTTCACTGTGAGGAGATACATGAATGTATATGTGTCTCAGTGTGTATCATCAAAGTCAAACAGATTTGGGGATTGATCAAATATTTATTAATATATGACTCAGTGAATACAAATACAAATTAACATGGGATTATTGACCTCTTCTATCCATTACCTAAGAAAACCAAGCATTAACTGCATGTCATCTTTCTGTTTTAGGAAGTGCTGGATGATTCTGCTTTAGGGAAAGGGCTCCTAGTCAGGTTGTGCATTTAAAACTACAAATGCATGTATGAAATCTACAATGATAGCAAAAGAAACAAGTTTTAAAATGTAGTAAAACTGAACTGCTAGATAAAATACACATGTGTAAACCCCACTCCAGATCTACCCCTTAGTGCTCTGAGCAGAGGTGCAACCCTTAGGCTGTCCAGGCCCCAGGGTTGGTCTAGGGTAGCATTTCTCATGCATGACTGCCACTCAGCAGCTCAGCAGGGCGAGCCAGGACAATGGGTGCTTTCACCGCCATTCTGCAACAGGACAGCAATCCAGCAGCATTCAGCTGCAGAAATTTGGTGAGAAATCCCAATGCCCCAAGATAATTTTGAGAAATCCTGCAATGATCTTCATATGTCAAGTTACAGGGGGAGACCGGCTTTGGGATTCTTGGCACTAGCCACTCTCACCTTTTGATCTTCAATGTATTCAATGTCGGCTGTGTTGTAGCCATCCCGCTGGCCCTGATGGAGCACCTTGAAACGCCTCTTGCCTATGCTGTCAACCACTGAGCGACCATCAGCAAAGAACTGAACATTTCTGATCTCTAGGATGCAGCCATATTCTGCAAACCTGTTTATTGGGAATAAAGTCAAGAAAGTAGATCTTTGGTAAGTTTTATTTCCTAAGCCCAGAACCCCAGCCATTTATACAACACTGCAGTATATACCTCAAGGGACTTCTGCCTATTTACATGCTCCAGGGATTACAGCTACAACTATTGAATAGGAAGTGCCTATACAGTGTATGAAGAAAATCTCAACGTACTGGTATACGTGCTATCATTGAGTACATCCTATGTGCCAAGGCTAAGGATTGAATGCTTGTCCCCCTCAAAATCCATGTTGAAATGTAATTGACACTGTAACAATGGTAAGAAGTAGGACCATTAAGCAATGATTAGGCTATGAGGGTTCTGTCCTCAAAATGGATTGATGCTGTTTTGCAGGTGTGCATTTATTATAAAAGGACAGGTTGGTCCTCCTTTCTCTCACACTGTTGTTTCCCTTTTGCCATGTTATAAAACCACCAGAAGTCTCCTAACAGGTGCTGGCACCTTGATTTTGGACTTGCCAGCTTCCAGAATCAGGACAAATAAATTTTTATTGCTTATAAATCACTCAGATCTATGGTATTCTGTTACAGTATCCCAAAATAGACTTGCAAAGCCAGGAATTGCATTGAGCATTTTATGTACATTCTTAACTCATCAACCACCACACACAAGCAAACTGAATGAGATCAGCATATTACATACTTTCTTAACAGACAAAAAAACTAAATGCAGAAAGGTTAGGTAACTTGCCCAAAGTCAAATTTGCTCCAAGGTTAGAACTCGAATATGAGCCTAGGCAGTTTGACTCCCGAGCCCACACTCCTAGAAAACAAGTTTTATGATATATACCACCTGCTTAACAAAAGATTAATTTTGTGTTTCTTTTACATCGATATTTTCTTACATAGTACACTAGGCACCAGAGGAACTGTGATCCTTACAAGTGCTCTTGTTCTTGAGCTAGCTAAACCTCATGAGCTCCCCACCTCTGTGAGCACCTCAAAGTAAAACAGAAATCCCTCTCTACCCAAGGCTTCTTTACTCCCTCCCAGGGCTCTTCACTTACCCTTTGACAGGATCTCCAAGGCACATGCCAAACTGTCTCGTGCCTGTCTCAATGCATCTCCGGATCATCAGGCGGTAACAAGGCTCAAAGATGTGCAGGGGACAAGGAACGGTTGGATAGGCCATGGTACACACGAAAATAGGCACATTCTTATTTAAGCTGTGAAGAAGAGCAAATGAGATGGGTCTCAAAGCAATGGCGCAAAGCACAGAAAGGCTGGTTAAACATTACCATGTAGTCCCCCCAAGTAAAGGGAATGAGCCTTTAAAAAGAAAAACACTGACATGCAACTGATGCTGCCAGCTGAGTCCCATTATTGTTGCAAAGGCTGGTCTGAGCTCTGAGAGACTGACACTGGCATTGCACACCCTATCCTTTGGCTAAAGAAGTCTTCCAATAGCTTAACATTGTGGGTGATAGCTATGCTGCATATTTTTTTCTTTCTTTCGCCTCTCCACTCAAAATGACTTCTTTGTTGAAGAAGAAAGGATATTGATGGTATAAGTGCACACAGCTATACAGAGCTGTGGTGAAAAATTCTCTGCAAGGTCTTCATGAACTTCGCAAATTTGCAAAGTCCCTCAGAGAATGTGCACAGCAAGCCCAGGTAGCAGGAGAAGCAAGCAAGAAACAGGCAAGAATCCAGCCCAGTGATACTCAAATGCTCCTGTACATCACAGTCATCAGAGACCCTTAAATCCTGATGACTGGACCACCACAGCCCCAAATATAATGACATATCAGCCCTGCAGTTAGTACTCAGGAGTTTGCCTTTCAAAAAATACCCCTAAAAATTCAGACAAACATCCCACCAGGAAATCCCCAACTGTGCCAGGTCCTTGTGGGTCCCAGTCTTCTTATTTGTCTAGTGAATCTAATGCAGAAACATATGCATCTAAACCTACTAAGAAATACAAGATCATTTGCCTAAATCTCAAAAAAGTCAGGTTTAGGATTCCTTTAAATAGAAATCCTCCTAGTATATTCCAGTATTTATTAATAAATTTTAAGTGATATTTGAGTTAGCTCAATGTTAACTGGAGAATAAGAATGGAATATAAAGATGCCCCGAGTAGTTCCAATATAAATCAATCAATGAGAGAATAATGACTTCTAGTTTTGGGGGAAAATATTATTCAAAGTGAAAGGCACATTCAAACAAATCAGTGACACTTTAGAAATGTTCTCTACAAGGTAGGCATAAAACAAGAACAGTTTTATGTCATCAAGACCGCACCTCTAGAACGCTGTAAGAATTTCACTGCCCCCTTAGGGCAGCAGCAAGAGGACCAGAAACTCATGATCACCTCCTGCTCGCTCTGCCAGGTGAGCAGGCAGAGAGCTTGAAGTCTCAAGTCTGTTACCATCCCTGCCATCACCTCTCATGTGTGCACAGCAGAGCAAGCATATAACAAGTATCAGCGCCATTACCATGTATGACACACTAACCATGTACCAGCATTGGTTTTGCATAAGTCCATGGGGTAAGAACTATTGTTATCTCCAAGTTACTGAAGCCCAGAAAGGGTCATGAAGTCTTCTCAGATTGCAATACATATCTCAAACCCAGGCCCAACACCAAAGTTCTTGACTTCTATGTATTTGCAGGCAATTTGGACACATCACAAATTCTCCTGGTTAAGCCATTCCAATGACTCCTGCCAGCAACATCACATGACTTGTGCCAACATGCATCCTGGCCAGTGGGTTGACTTAATGCTTCTTCAGTGGTGCGCTGATAAATGGTTAACTGTTTTCCCAAAGAGAGAGAAGCCCTAGTTTGTAGCACTTGCTGATTTCCATGGTGTAAATACTCTCACCATAGCCAATTTAAAGCCACCAACATGGTGTCACTGAATGAGGAGCTGGGAAGAAATGTGTACATTCAACTCTCATGAGCTGGTATGAATGAAACCAAAAACAGAAAAATACATATACATAAGCATATAGATATACATACTTAGAGAGTTCTTCCATTTCCTCTTCATAAAGCCTCTTTCGTTCCTTGAACTCTTCTGGAAGGAATTTAGCTATTAGCTCTTCCATTATGACATTTTTGCTGTATTTTCTTGATGCCAAGCACTATATAGGAACAAGGCAATCAGGTATTATGCAGTCATCAGAAAAACACAAAGGACTTCATAATCAGTAAAGCAGTCAAATGACTCACATGTTGGAGTAATTTGGACCCATAATTTAGCAGCGATACACACAATCATATGAATTCTCTGAATGTTAGGGTTTACTTTTTAAATTTTAAAAATGCAACTGACTACCTTAATAATTAGAGAAAAATATTTTAACAGAGAAAGAACCTGAGTTGAATTTTTAAAAATCACACAGCCTTCCTAAAGCATTGAAATTGGAATCATTCTGTTGCCCAAAAAAGAGATGATCCTCCTTTTTATTTTCTCTGATTATTTTGTTTACAAGCTCCTTGGTCTCTATTTGGAATATGTTAAAGTTAGTAGTCAAAAGATTTGGGGAATTGAAAAGCAGTGCTCACCGAGCCTTTCCTACTCTGCCCTGACCCCGTTCCACCCAATGCTTAGATTCTGTATATTCCCAAGTCTATACATTCTGTTCTAACTTTAGTTTAAAAACACACAAAGAGCTAAATACTGGTGATTGTTTTGGTGTATTAGCCTTTTTAATATGCCATCTATATAACCAAAATTATGTCATAAACCATAATTGCAGAACCAGACTAAGCTTTCTTGTCACTATTACTCTCATCTCAAACACCCCTACCCCGTATATATTTAGGGATGTGCGAGTAGAGGTGTTTGATGGTGTCCACCAAACCGCTGATGTTAGAGAACTGCTGTGGAAGCTACCCCTACAGACTCACCAGGGGGTGCTCCTGAACACAAAACTGCTGCCTTCAGATAATTTTGTCTCTTTCCAAGCACTGGTAGTCTCTGTTCTCCGATGGACATGACTGAAATACTTATCTCTGTGTACAATGGTGTAAGTGTGATCCTGTGTGAATTTTCAGACAAGGAGATGAAAGTATCTATATATGCACCTATACACATCCTGGACACCTTAACAGACACTACTAGTGGCTACAGGAGAAAGAACTGTGTTACTCAGTCCCTTCAGGGAGGGAGGGGTGCTCAGAAGGTAGCCAATCCAAGGAGAAGGTGACGCTACAACAAAAACCCAAGAAGGGCACATCCTAAAATGTCAATAGTGGTTTTGTGTAGGTGCTGAACATATGGGTAGATTTTCCTTCTTTCTGTTTATCTCAACTTTGTACTGTTATTACAGCACAAATATATTACTTACGTATAAGGACCATGGGCTTCTCATCTACAACCTGGTTAGCAAATCCCACCCATTTATCTAGGGAAAGGGATGGCTTTGACCTCCAAACATATAGCCTTAAATCTAACCCTGATAGTTATTTTATTCCATTCCCTTAGTGAGAATGTTAGAGTTTGGGAAAAACTTAACTTATGACTTCTCTGGGCCTACGTCCACATAGAGACAGTCCTGGGTCTCCACCCTCTCCTCAGGAATAACAATGTTCACAGAACATTAATACTGATTGTAAATGTGGCACACAACTCCCTGAAGGAAGGAAAACAAGACAGATTCTTGGGCCTTCTTTTACCAGAGGAAATTCTATCACGCTCACTTGTAAAATGAAAGTAGGAGTTTGTGTGATTAATTTTAGAGAACCTAGCTCCCCCAGAGCTTTTCAAGTCCCCAAGTATCTGCTAACTAGTACAGTGACTCTTGAGTGGTTAGATTTGGAACTGGCTTGTGGGACAGATTTTGGTACCAAGAAGTGGGGTCATTGCTGTGATTGTACCTAACCATGTGGTTCAGGAGCCTTTGAAACTGGCTAGTGGGAAAAGTTTGGAAAGGTTTAGAGATGTTAGCTGAAGACACAGCCCTGGAATGCCTTAAGCTGCACTGATGGGAGATTCTGGTGAAAGCTCAGAAGACCAGAAGGCTGATAGAAATATTGCCTGTAGAGATCAGCCTCAGGAGGTTTCTGTTGTAAAGAAAGACTACACTTGCTGTTGTACTCTAGATCATGTGTATTATGCTTTGGTAGAAAATTTGTCTGCATCTTACTCATGCTCAGAGACTTTGACTAAGAATAAAGGTGGAGAACTAATTAATCTTGTAGAAGAACTTTCAAGGCAGTCTAATGTTGAGGCAGTGGCATGGCTTTTGCTGGGGGCTTTGATCCAGATTTATGTTAAGAATCAAGAGAAAAGAGCCCCTCAGAATGACTTAAAATGTTTTATGGTTGGCCAAAAAGGAAACTCTGGTAAAGCTGAAGACTGCAAAGAAAAAGCAGAGGAGAATCTGGTTGCTGAGAAGGAACAGGGCAGTGGAAAAGATGGCTTGAGGATATCACAAGAAACAGCAGGACTCCAGCCTTTGCAGCCTCAAGAGATCGCAAAGGTAAAAGAATTTGCTTTGAGAAAAGAGCCCTAGAGCACCATGATCCAGAATGGCTGTGGCCTAGAAAATTTGTTCCTTGGAATTGGGTTTCAGAGTGCTCAGTGATCTAAGTAGTAGAGCCCTACGATCAAAAGAGAGGGAAGCATGGATACTGCACCAGATAGCAGCAGACCTTGCTGTTATCCATGTGGTGCTGATTTTAGGCGTATGCAGAATGTAGGTGTTGTAGGGTCAAGAAGATTCCATCCAGATTTCAGAGGAATACTTGGGAGGCCAGCCATTGTGTCCCTGAGAGGGCAGTGTGTGAAACTGTCAGTGTAAAGCTGAAGGCTCAGTTCAGGCCCCAGATGGTTGGAGAAGCCAGGAACATATATTGTCTGAGAAAAGCTGCAAGGAGCAAGCAAAGACAGACCAAGAAAGAAGCTGTGGGAGCTACAACCCTCTGCAGTGTCATAAGTGTGGAGCTGCCCAAGCTCTTTAGTGTTCACATCTTGCCACACACTGCTTCTGATGCTGGACATGGAAGTATAGGACTTAAATGTTTGCCCTGCTGGATTTTGGACTTGCTCTGGTCCCATTCCTTTCTATCACCCTATTTGGAATGGGAATGTTTATCCTATGCCATTGTGTTTTTGAATTATTTAACTTTCTTTTCATTTGTACAAAGGCTCACAGCTAAGAGTTTGCTCTAGGTTTCAGAGGAGACTTTACATTTGGACTTTTTTTGTTTTGTTTTGTTTTTTTCCAGTACCGAGAATCGAACTCATGACGTCACGCTTGCCAGGCAGGTGCTGTGCCACTGAGCTAAATCCCCAACAATGCTGAAACTGTTAAGACTTTGGCAACTCTTAAATGTTTTTGCATAAAGGGATGTGGATGTGCACGAGTCTTTGGTGGGGCCATGGACAAAATTTTATGATTTGTGTCTAGATTTCCCCCCAAAGCTGCATGTGGTCATAGGTGGGGCTTTTCAGAGGTGGCTGGATCTAGAGTGTATGATGCCAGGATTAAGGGTGTGTGATTATTAAATTAGTCCATTGATTGGTCTGGCATAGTTCTGGATGTGGATAATGGGAAGGCCCACCCTAAGTGTGAGTGTTACATACCTTAAGGGTGTGCAGCCTGGATAGAATATAAGGGACGGAAAGAGGGCTGGAACTGTAGCTTTCTGCTTCCTCACTATTTTGCTGCTTTGCTGCCTTCCTGCCTTCTTCCCACCATGAACTATCTCTCCTCTGCAATGCCCCTCTGCCATGCCACACTACCTTGGAGCCAGCCAACTATAAACTGAAACCTGTACAAACTGTGAACTACACTAAACCTTTCCTTCTTTAACTGTGGGTGCCAGACATTTTATCTCAGCAACGAGAAAAGTAACAGACACAGATTACATGGAAGATCTGTGAGGTTTATCAGGGGTCCTGGGAGCCAATTTCTTCAAAGCACAGAATAAGAGGATGAATATTCACCCCAAATTACAGTGTATCTGGTGCCGCTGGACTAGAAACCATGTTTATCATCTATTTAATACTTTTATTTCCAACACAAATTAATTTCATTACTGGCAGTTCATGAAAAGCTAGATGTTGCCTCATTTTCCTGAAGGGAGAGCTGCCTAGCAGACAGGAGAAATAGATAGTTGACCTGAGGGAATGTTTTGCTCTAGCACAGCAGAGTGATTTGGGATCCAGTTAAATGCTTAGTATCTAATTCTACAGTTAACCCAACTAAGAAAGAAATATTGGTTTACCTGGGAAAGACCATCCTTGCATAATGGACATTTTGCATTGTGATCCAGGCATCTTTCAAGGCATTTTAAGCAAAAGGTATGCCCACAAGGTGTTGTGACTGGCTCATAGAATAATCTGAAATTTAAGAATCAGAATGGAAGACAATTATAATAAGACAAAAAATAAGACAGAAGTACTCATGGATAAGGTTTCATACAACTATTTGGAAAAATCTGTATATAAAGGATTCTTCCAGTTTTTAATCAATGCTATTGCTGCACGCCAGAAAATTATTTGCTTTTAATTTCTGAGCCAGATTAAACATAATGCGTTTGTTAAAGTTCAGGGTATAGCTTGATCATTTTGCAGTATTAGTTCTAGTCTATCTCTTCTGGGGCACACAAATCTTCTTCCCTGTCTGATCCCAGAAAAATAGAGATTAATCCCAGAATGAATAAATTCCATATAAAAACATTTAACCAATTTGTTCACCTGAGTATATGTAAATACACACACACACACACACACACACACACACACACACACACTTTACATCGTATCACCATGGAAAAAACTTGATTTTTTGGCTAACCTTCATTTCTTTTTTCACTTAAGCAACATTTACTGTCTGAAAGATCTTGAAACTTCATCTCTAAGTCTAATTCAATTCTAACTGTTATGTGGATAAATAATTTCCCTAGAGATTATAGGATAATATTGTTAATGCACCTACTAAGATTAGATAGATAGATAGATATAGATGTTCATATACACACATATATACTATATATGTATATATACACATACTGTAGTTCAGTTAGATCCTACTTCAATTGCTTTGGAAGAGCAGGGTATTTTCAAGACAATGTTAGAATCTTTTATTAAAGCTGTTCTGGACCTTTAGATATACATGGGTTTACTTTGCATAAAGAAAGGTTTAGCTGCCATGCATGGCAGCACATGCCTGCAATCCCAGAACTCAGGAAGCTGAGGCAGGAGGATTACTGCAAGTTCAAGGCCGGTCTGGGCTACCCAGTGAGTTCAAGATCAGACTGAACTACATAGTGAAATCCTGTCTCAAAAAGCCCAAGAAGAAAGAAAGAAAGAAGAAAAAAGAAAGGTTCACGCGGAGCAAGACCAGTGGCGATGATTAAGAAGTGAGACTAGTAGTCACTAAAAGGACAAGCACAAAAAGAAGAGAAACCTCATCAACCTATTTTGACCTCTGATGGGCAGCTACACAGCCCCTCATGTGGCTAGGAGGTGTACCACCAGCCTCGCCCACACTGCCAGGTTGAGCACAAGAATGAAAATGTCAGAATTCAAAAGTTCTCGAAAAGAAAGTGAATCCATCAACTAAAATAAAACTGAGGCTCGGAGGTGGTGAAGATGCTTATCTAAGTATATACTACCGTTAACAGATGAAAGTTTTCAATTTTCACCTCCACTCATGTGCCTTTTTATTATACAATGATTCTCAATCATTAGTGTGCATCAGAAACACCAGAGGGCATTTCTATAACAGCTTTTTGGATGCATAATTGACAGACAACAAATTGAACATACTTAAAGCATACAATTTGATAAGTTTTGATATATGCATACAGTACACCCATGAAACTATCACCACAATCAAGATAGTGAACATACCCAGCTATGGCTTCCAATTGTTTCCTCCTGCCCCTCCCCACACTACTCCTTATCACCACAGGGGGTTTCTTAAACTGCAGATTCACAAGAATGCACCTACAGAGATCCAGATCAGTAGGCCTAGGGTCTAGGCTAGGCATCAAGATTTGGTCTTGGTCCTTTTGAGACAGGGTCTCACTATGCAGTTCAGGCCTGCCTTGAGCTCACTTTGTAGCCCAGGCTGCCCTCAAACTCACAGAGATCTTCCTGCCTCAACCTCCTGAGTGCTAAGATTACAGATGTGCGCCACCACATCTGTAATGGCATCAAGATTTTAAAAGTCCCTAGATGGTTTTAACACGCATCCAACATTGAGAATGACTGTATTACACAATCCTAGCAATCTCTGCATAGGCAAACCTTCTGTATTAGTCTTCAGACATAATTATCTGTCATGCATTGAGCTTTGAAAACATTTGCACAGTAAAGCCAGATTCAGCAGGTTGAGGGGAGAGACAGACAGTTGTCCATGAAATTCCAGAGTAGGAGAAAGACCTTGTATATATTCACTTCTTTGTGCTTTTTAAGTTTTACAATTTGTTTAAAAAGTAGTTAGTCAAAGAGAATTAATAAATTTTACTTATTAAATTGGCCCAAAAGTAAATTTTCAAAAAGAAAAATCCTTTATATGTTAGAGGCCCTAATCAGTGCACTAAGGCAAGAAGACAAGTATGAGAATTGGAAAGAAAAAGACAAATCTGTCATTATTCACCAATGGTGTAATGATGAATAATGCTTTTAGAAAACAAAAGAATCTACAGAGTGACTGTTAGAATTAAGAATAGAATTAATAATATTGCTAGGTAAATATACATACCACAGTTGTAGTTCTATGTAGTTCTAGCAATATAATGTTTAAGATACAGTTTTAAGATGCGATTTACAACTCCGTTTCAAAATCAAGTACCCAGGAACCTAACAAATCTAATAAAAGTTGTGTGAGTTCTCTACTTGAAGAAAACTATAAACACCTCACTGAGGGAAAGTAAAGAAGACCTAACAACTCCCAACAAAAATTTCTCTGGTTATTTCATTTGTTTTTATGGAAGCTGACAAGTTGTTTTGTCAACACAATAATGAAATGCAAAGGACCAAGACACACATGAAGAGCAACAATGACTTTTAGGTTCACCAAAATACAACTCTGAAGGAGCAAACAGGCAAGCCACATAGGAGAAAGTATTTGTAAAACATACAACTAAAAAAGACTTGTATCTAGAACATACCTATAGCTCCTACAAGTCAGTAGGAAAGAAAAAGAACTCAGTAAAAAAAAATGAGTAAACACTGATGTATACAAAACAATGTTCAGCCAGGCGTGGAGGTACATGCCTATAACCTTAAACTCTGGGCAACTGAAGCAGAATGATCACAATTCTGAGTCCTCCCTGGGAAGCTTAGCAATTTAGCAAGACCATGACTCTAAAAAATAAGGGCTGGGGATGTAGCTCAATGTGAAGTACCTAAATTCAATCCCCAGTACAGGAAAAAAAGAAGAAAAATAGAAACATTGCTCATAGCAATATTGTCCATATTATCTTCAAACTAGTATCAACCTAAGCACCCATCTATAATAGAATTCAAAAAGAAATTGTGGTAGTATCATACAATGCATTAATCTGAACAAATCTTAGCAGTGGGTAAAAGAAGCCAGACTGAAAGAATACATTTTAGATAATTTATATAAATTCTTCAAATTAGGCAAAACTAAAATGTACTGGGCAGAGACGCATATATGGGTGGTAAAACCATAAGACAAGAAAGATAAAAGAAGTGGAGATAGTGGTTGGGGTGGGGGTGCATGAATGTAGTGCTGATTTTGAAAGTACACATGGGCAGCTTCTGGGGTCCTTTGATATATTATTCATTAAACTGATGGGTTACATGCACATCCTCTTTATAGTATTTTATTATGAGAACACATATATTTCATGCCTTTTGTATACTTCATAATTCAAATGTGTTTCAAAAGTGTAACATGCAGGCTTATTCGGGTACAGTTGCGATCAAACTACCAGAGCAACCAAACCAGAATAGTCTGTTTCCTCAGTAACCAGAATCCTGTGCATCTGAATACCTTTACACATTACGTGATGATGCTAATGATGAAGATGACTGGCGAATATGTGTCTACTACCGATACACAAAACTATTGCTTTCCTGAGAATTTTAGTTAGGTCTGTTGTTCATCTAATAACATAACCCAGATAAATTAACAAAGATACAACTTGTTAATTCATAGCAAAAATATTGACATTTCATGAGCAGATGAATGAAATATACCCAAAAGGACACAGCCGTTTCTTAGCAAGTTCTATGATTAAACTGCCCCTCAATAAGAGATAGTGAACTAAAATGCAGCTGCAGACACTGCATAATTAGTGCTTTGAAATAAGTCACTTTTCAGTACTCAATTCACTTCTATTTTCAGGGATATTATTCTGCACAGGCTGACTGAGTAAAATATATTTCTCTTGCTATATTTCTGGGTGTATGCAAATACTGTTTTTCATCTAAATTAACTTTATACATTAATAGGTGATAATTTTGCTACTGAGGAAATTAAAACACATCCAGGTTAAATAACTTGCCTAAGTGGTTAAGCAGATAACTTAGGATGTGAAGTCAAATCTGATGCCACTGCAAATCTTCCTTCTCCACTGGATAACACAGGGATGACTATATCTCACATGGACATCACCCACCTACATGGTGATTGCACATTCATATACACACTTTTATGTCTCCCTCTTTCTCTCTCCCTCCTTACACTTTCTAGAAAGATAGACAGAGAAACAGAGATCCTTACTATATAGAGATGTGTACAGAAATCCTCTCTCTTTTATTTACCAGTTCAGGTAATGATTTCACAAAACACTTTAGGGAGGCACTTGTAAATCAGAGCAGGGCCAGATTTCCTCACAAGAAAGCATTTCACGCTGTCACAGTGATAGAGCAAATAATAGTAATAATAAATGCTTTCAGTTAGATGCCAGCCCAGATAAATAGTTCTTTCCTCACCAGTCACATCCTTATATTGTGTTCTTTTGCTATCAAATTAGAACAAGGAAGGAATGAGAAGAAGGAGGGAGCAGGAGAGAGAAAAGAAAATGAACTGACTCAACACCCAGAGACTTAAGTAGCTAAAACTAGATTAAATATAAAGCTTTTTCAATTGACAAAGACATCACTGGGCCATGAGGTAAATGGCCCAAATTATTCTCAAAATATCTCAAAATATTCTTATCACCTCAAAGGTGCTGCTTCACAGCAGCACTGGAGGTGGGTCCCACTAGCTATGGTAGCCATGCCAAGTAAACCTGAAAGAATGATTTTCAGCTACTAAAGATTTCTGGGCAGAGTCCTAAGGTGCTGGAGTTAGGGGGCAACTTCCTTTAACAGAGCTCTCCCCGTTCAGCAAGGGAGACTTGGAGATTGGAAAGGCCCTCATTAGCGCACCCTCCAGGAACTGTTCCATTCACTCTTAGTTTATCCATTCCCTGTGAAACTTAAACCTCTTCCTGAATTTCCCTCTAGAATTAGAATATATAAATTCACTGTCTAACCTGTGTTTTTGCCAGTGTGACACTATGGGACTAGATTTCGTTGTAGAAACTTGCACAGGTGATAGAAATATCTAGTTTCATGACCCAGCAGATTGCTTGAGACTATACCATTAGATCCTCTCTCAAAGACATGTGAGGATGACAATAGAATCTAATAATAATAATCAAAACAACAATAAAAACATACAGAAAGGTGGAATCATGAATTTTTTCAAGCTTGGAAGCATTCAAGCTGAAACACGTGTATGAAATAGCCTCTGTCAATAGCTGAAGTCTAATTTATGGACAGATCTTGTTGGAAAAGGAACCACTGTACATGTTTCTGACCAAGAGCTGCAGTTTTAAAAGCCTCCAGACCAAAAATGTGCCATAGATTGGGCAGGTTTCTTATTATCATAAAGCAGCAGGAGTCTCGCTATAACTTAGTAACAATAGCTACTCCAGGCAAAGATGGGCTTTAGGGTTGAAGTTTCACTTAGAACAGGGAGTCAAGATAAGGGAAATAACGGCTTTTAGACCTAAGAGCATGCAAACTAGAAGGATTTCTTATGCTTTTGGCAGTTATTTCTTGGAACAAATTTCTAATCCATTTCCAAAGCCCCCTGTTGAGATCAGGGACAGTCAAGATGAAAGGGAAAAAATGGAGGAAGAGGAACAAAAGAACTTCAACTTCAGGATTCTTGGTCCACAGAGAAAACATAAACAGGATGAGTCTGTATGTTTGATTTCATGTTGCCTGGATGTTGGAGGCAGTGTTAGGAGGCTAAGTACAACAATGACCTGTTCCCTTTGTGTGGGCTAAGTCAAGTCTACTATACAACTCACGTGATGGGCTTTGAGCCACAGTGGTGGTAGCTCTGGGGACGATTTCTCTTCTCAGAAGCAGCACTTCTTTAGCTCATACCTTCGTCTTGGCATGAGCTACCTGCCACTCTCTTGTGGGGGGGTAAAGGAAGTAGTATACAGCCTATAGCATCCCAGCCTACTGCACCTAAACAAACTCCTGACAATGTATGACATCTGACCTGCTGAAATGCTCTTTATCAGATCTTCCCAAGCTTATGGGCAGATCTGACTACCCTGGCTTTTTATTTTTGATTATTACTGTATTTTGGGGAGTAGTGTTAGGGATGGAACCCAGGGCCTTGCACATGTTAGGCAACCACGTTACCACGGATCCACATCCTTAACCCCAACTATAATTTTTTAAGAGAAACAAAAAGTCCATGTTTGGGGTAATGGCTGTCTTGTTCTTATCCATGGACAAGAAAAATCAATCAGAACACAAACATGTGTGATTGGTAGTAAGAGATAGATGCTTGTAAAGGGCGAGAAGACAACTGAGGAGTCTGCCAACTGTATCCCCACATGTAATGAACTAAAAGACTCTTCTTGACACCTTTTCTCTTAGGTCAAACATCTTCTGGGCAATTGTCTCAGCCTCCTTTTAATGCTCTTTTGGAAAACAAGAAATCTACTGAAAGCTATGGACACACATACACACACACACATGCACACGCATGCAGACACAGACACTTAACATAGAACTTCAGTGAATTCCTAGATTTGTTAGAATCCATACATAGAACCTCCTCAGGAGTCTATGGACCTAATATTAAAGAAATTTGGTCTAGAAGGAAAAACTAGTCAACATTTAGAGTATTCATTATATTCCAGGCACTATTCTAAGTGTTAAATAAAATTTGTTGTCTTCTTTTCTTTCTCCTCCTCCTCCTCCTCTTTCTTCCTCTTCTTTTTTCTCCCTCTTTCCCTCCGTCCCTGTCTCCCCCTTACTTCTCTGTCAGCACTGGGGATTGTACCCATGGCCTTCCACGTGCTTGGTAAGCATTATACCACTGGGTTACTTCCGCAGCTCCTTCAGTTGTTTCAATTAATCATAACAACCCCTTGGGGGTTGTTTTACTGGCAAGAAAACAGTGGCAGAGAATGTCACTTCCTCAAGGACAAATAGCCTGCAAATGGACACAGCTAGGATTCCGATTTTGGAAGTCTCTTCTCTTAGCCACTAAGTTCACAGATGTGAAGTAAAACAAATGGAAGCTATTTTAAAAATTGAATGTGGCTATATAGACCATGATCCCAGTATCTTTCTCTCTTTTTTGTAGTGGGGACATGTGTATAATTTGCCTCTTTAGAGATTTGAGAAAGCAGAAATGGTACGGTACTAGTTGCAGGGGAAATGCTTGACTAAGTGTCTTGCATCTGCTACTAACTATTGTTCATGGCACAGTTTAAAGACAAGCTAGTTAGACTCTTTACTTGGCTTCTAAAGAATAGGCCTTTGACACTGATATTAACCCCTGAGCTTTTAATTCTTGATCTGGTAGAGTTAGTTCCACAGTTACAAACATAAATACTTACCCCAGTCAAGGAAAATTATGAGGATGTGAGATAGGCATATGTGTGTGTGTGTGTGTGTGTGTGTGTGCGTGCACGCAGGGGTGACCACTGCCAAATGGAAAGTGGATATCCTCTCTCAAGGTACTCATATTTAACCAAAACAAACGCCATGAAGGCCAAACAAAAGACATTCAGTGTGTGACCTCTGAAAAGACTGTTCCCTTTCAACTTTCCAGGTATTTCCAAGGCAGGAATCTGGGATGCAGGGAATGTAGTCTATAAGTAGGGGATATAAACTGCGCCATGTGACAATGTTGTGATTTCCGTTTCATAAGAACTATGCTTTTATGCAGTAATCAGCCTAACAGTAGGTCAGTAGTAGAAAGATCCAGGCATGAGAGCGGAGGAACTATCAGGCATCACATACCTCATACATAGGGAGCATTCAAGGTCAGAGGCGTCAAACGATGCAGGTGGAATACTGAGAGCAGCTTTGGCCCCCTGATCAGTGGGAAGATCTGTGATTTAGAAAGCAGTAAGTCAGAACTAAACAAACCTTGGTTTCACAGACAGTACTTCTGAGACCAAAAAAGTCACTTTCCAATTTGCCACATTTGCCACCTCCCCAACAGTTTATTGATCCCTGAGGACTTCCTTGGAATATGACACGCTCCTCACTCATCAGCAGGAATAGCAGCAACAGCAACAGCAATTGCAGCAATTTGAAGGACTGAGCCAGGCCTTCAAGGCCAGGATTGAATCTTGGCCCTGATAACCTCTCTTTAAAAGATCTCAAATTACAGCTACTGCTTCTCAGATGCCTACCTAAAGAAGCGTAACTGGGTAAGGCCTGACCACATAACCCCATCCTATATTCTTGGACCAGGATGAGGGTAGAGAGAGTTGGCCTGGAAGGATGCAAGACTTTCAAAGGCATGGGATGTCATTACTTGATACTGTGCTGGACCTTATGCCTTGGCTTTCTATAATAATTTACACTGAGTGCTTACAGTGTATAAGGCACCATGTGTGATCTCACAGAAACCTCACAGCAACCCCTGATGTGGCACAGCTGGTAAAGCCAAAGCGGGGCCATACACCCAGAGCCACAGGGGCCCCCAGATGGAGTGCAACTTGGCGAGCCCAGGTATCTCCTCCAACCCGCTTGCTCCCTGGTTAGAGTCATTACCTTGCTTGTGGGCTTTATTGAAAACCTCTGTGTCTTCTCTGAGCTCAATTTGGCAATGTTTTCTTTTCTTTTCCTGGCATTTGCCAATCTTGACGGAAGCACCATCTGGAGAGGCAGCATCTTGCTTCTCCTCTTCTTCTTCTTCCTGTTCTTTCATGTTGTCTTGCTGACCATCCAACTGTATGTTAGCTGTGTTCGTCAGACTGCTGCCATTCTGGCTGGCTGCTGCCTCCTTCTGATTAGAGCAATGTGGGAGCTCTAGACTTTCCTAGATGAAGAAAGAACAAATATCAGACTCTACTTAGGACCAGTATCTTACCCAGAGGGAACAGAGAGAAAAATACATAACTCTGATCCTCACTACTAATCACTTAGTGGACACATAGCTCAACTTAGGGGCAATCATAAGGTTATTCCCACTTCCAGTCCACACAGCATCTGCAACAAAGGCCTGCCCAGCTTGGGCAGAGTTAGGGAAGTTCCCTAGGCAAGGCTGAAAGGCACATAGCTGGAGACACTTCCTGGGAAAAGGGGAAATGCAAGGGGAAACCCTCCTCCCCCTCCTATCCAAATCATTCCCCAGCAACACCTTTGGGGAAACCAAGGCATGCAGCGAGGGTAGATACTATCACTCAATACTTCCTCTTACCCTCAAGGACATTCATAGCCATCTGGAATTTCCAAATTCCAGCACCTAAAGGAGTTTTGCTAAAGCTTTGGCCTAGTCTGTTTACAGGCTTGCCAAGTGATCTCATGCCCAGAGCTATATGTTATACTGACCACAAGAACAAGGGACAACCTATTCCTTTCACTAGACTTTGGGTGAAAAGTCTCAAAAGGAGACAAAATCATTTGGCAAAACAACACATATGTCTCTAGTCTGTTAAAGAATTTTTGTCCAGGAGAAGGATATTTGAAAATGGATTCAGAAATAATTCTGGTTATCCAGATTTACCTGGAAAACCTTTCTATGCAGTAAAACCCCAACTTACAAACATTCAAATTGCAAACTTTCACAGGTATAAAACTCACAGTCGGTTTAGGAACAAATACAATTTACGAAGGAATCCGACTGAAGAACCATTTTCCCAGAAGTGAACTTATCTGTAAATTGGGGACTTACTGTAATCTAAACCCATAGTCCACAGGTCAAAATGTTCATCTTGTTGCTTCCCCTCCTACCACTACCAAAAAAATGCAACCATATACACATGAAAGGGGCAGGCATACAGTTGGGAGAAAAGACTAAAGGAGAGATAGGATGTGACTTTTCTCACTCTAACCTGGGGAGTTCAGGGTTCTTCCAGTACTATAGCAATACCCAACTTTCCGTGAGCCCAAGGCATTTTCTGCACAGGAGTGCACTGCCTTGCAAAGGGAAGTCAAGGTGCAAGTCCAATCTCTGTTACTATCTGGTTCACTTTGGAGTGCCAAGGGTGCTTGCTACTTTTCTTCATTTCAGAGTAAGCTGCAAGGAGAAGTGACTCCAGGCACTTGTGTTCAGTATTAACCTTCATAATTATGTAAAAATAACTGCTGGGGACTCTAAGATTTAAGAGGATACTATAAGATGTGCCTTTTAAAAAAAGTCAGGCATCTCTGCATTTTATTCCTTCTCCATAGCAGGGACAGAAATAGGAAATTTGAGTGCCCAGGGTTTACATACCGGGCTTACACATAAGTTAAGAACCTTGGGCACAAAGGGAGGGAAAGTACCCCCCAAAAGGGTTTCAGGATTCAGTACTAAATTCTGCCTTAGAGTCTGGACATCTGAGCCCCAATTTCTGCCCACTTATACTTTGCTAGGAAAGCCAACACCTGGAGTCCATCTTTCTGTGTTCTGTTCCCTTATGTCCAAAGAAAGGCACAAATACTGTCTTCTTCTCAAGAACCTCAACCCAAAAATGTTCCCAAATCTCGTTCCCCTTCTCTATACAAATATGTATTGGAAGTCTACTTATGTACAAGGTATAGTGCAGGACTATGAAATTACCTCCATTTGGGGTATCAACTGAAGATGCCCTTGCACAAGGATCTCAGCTGGAGCTCAAAGGCTAGTAGCTTCAACAAACAAAAAGCAGGAGAGGAGTGGCAGTCAGGCCCTCTTCCCAGGCTCTGCCTCAAAGCTGTGGCTAGTAAGCCCAACCCAACTGTATGGCTCCAGGGGAAGTGGGCCAATCCTTTCATAGTGGTGTCAAATTTCTCTCTTGGTTCGATCTGACCAAGAACTAAAATAAATGTAATGAATCAATCAATGAACGTATGTTGGTCCATCCCTGAAATTCAGAATTGATATCTTTAAGAAGTAACCTTCTTGGCAAAGAACACAGCCCCTATGGACTCCATTTCTTCTTTCTCAGGAACCAAAGTAGGAGAGGTAGGGCTCACTCCCCATGTTTGCCCACAAAACAGCCAAACGAAGCGTCACGAAGAGCCGGGTGAGTTGAATTTTACCTGTGACAACTTTAGTAGATTATGGCTGGTGCCTTCAGTAGCCATTGACTCTACGTGTTCCTTTAATCTAGGGTGAGGTGCCAACAGCTTCAGGATATCGGGAGAATGTTCCTGAGAATCCCCCGGGACTGATGGTGAAAAGAAACTAAGGAGAAGCTGTGACATAAAACAGAAGACTTCACTACTTAAGTTTCTACAGGTACTCAGGTGAAGGGGGTGGGGACAGGGGATGGGGGCACAGCTTGCAGGGCAAAACTGCAGGGATGAAGCCCTGGACACACCAGGTCCCTGGACACATCTGCACATATCAGTATCATCTGAGGAGCTTATGAAAAAGCCAGGTTTGTAGTTTCCACTTCTGCCTTCCCCACATCTGAAGCATGGTCCAGGAATCTGGACTTTGAGAAGGCACTACAGATGCCTGTGTTACCCATCCAAGGTTTAGAGCTACCCCTTGGTGCTATCTTTCCACAGAACTATTTCCAGTAGGATCTGAAAACCCATCTGGAAGGAAAGAGACAGACTGGTGAAGCCAGGAGATAAACCTCAGTTGGGAAACTTGGGAGTCACATCAATAACACCCAGTGGGTCTACAAATGTTTCCTAGGTTCCTCACAGCTCCTTTTCTCTGCCTACTCATTTTGTTTCTTCTTCTACCCACTTACCATCACCCCTGAATTTTTTAAAGCAGTACTGAGGATTGAACCCATGGCCTTCACATTGAGCCACATCCCTAGCCTTTTTTTTTTTTTTTTATTTTGAACTAGGGTTGGTCACTAAGTTACCCAGGTTAGGCTCAATCCTGTGATCCTCCTGCCTCAGCCTCCCAGACTGCTGGGATTACAGGTATGTACCGACAAACCTGGGTTATGCCTGGATCTTTCATCCCTTCAGAGCTAAGGACCTGAGCCATGAAGTATTAGGAAAGTAGAACCCAAATTTCTTCTTGTAGCCTCTCCCCAATTCTGGCACTTTCCAGAAAAATTCCGGGTTAAATTCAAGTACCGAGGGCAGGCAGATGCCAGTCTGTTTCTGGTTTTCCTTGTAATCAGAAACACTGGGAGAATAGAGTGGGAAGAAACAGAAGAGAATGCAAGCCACAGATACGCTTTGGAGTACAGGCAGTACCATTAGCTGTCACATTCTTGCTTCAATTCTCCTCTGTACCGGCAAGGATTTAATCTATCTGTCTGTCTGTCTGTCTGTCTGTCTATCTATCTATCTTATAACACAAAGGGACCAGGACATTGAATTTCTAAAATTTATTTAAGTGTTTACCACCTAGCAAGCCCTGCAGAATTTCAAGCCCTACAACCTCGTTTGGTTACACAGTCAGGGTATTCACTGATCAACAGACCTTGTTAGAACCCCAAACTCCAGTTTAATTAATTCTCTTTCTGGCCACCACCAGTTTCTTCACAATGTTCCTTCAGATGCCAGCACTTACGATGAGCTCACACCCTCTGAGCCTTCAGTGCTCACCTTAAGTCCTTCCTTCCCTTACTACTCTCATCTCTCTAATCTCTCCTGTCACGTCATGTTCTCTACTGTACCCTTTAAGAGCAGCTTAAATGATACCGTCTTCTGCCATCCTGGCACTGCATCACAAATATGTCTTTTTCTCCAGCCAGATGATCAGCTTCTGGAAGGCACAGAACAACTGCCCAATATTCATCACACTGGATGGAACTAAATTAAGACACTTGTCCATCTCAGGGCCCAAGAAGAAGCGTAGGTTTCAGGCCAAAAGTCCCCAGATGGGTCCCTATGTTTTCCTCTTGCTCTAGAAAACCCACTCGCTGGGTATCGGTTGGCAAAGGAGTGAGCTGGGAGTTACTCTTAGTGGCCAGAGCCATAAATGCTTTGAGAAGCCCCTCCTCCAAAGAAACCAAGTTAGCTCCCAGCAGCTCTAATGAGTATCCCTGCGGAGGCAGTCTCCTTAGAATTTTCAGCCACCGAGCCTGATATTCTTCAGTGGCAGCCACACAGCCTCTCAAGGTACAAGGATGAAAGGGCAGAGGGAAATGGGAGGGCAAAGGAAGCCCAGGGAAAAAATGAAAGGAAACAAGGCAGAAACAACAAGCAGCAATTCCTCTCTTAACTCTATGACCTAAAATCCCTCTCTCCCTCTCTCTTCCTCTCTCTCCCTCTCCCCCTTCTCTCTCTCTCTCTCTCTGTCTGTCTGTTTCTCTCTGTCTCTCTGTCTCTGTCTCTCTATCTCTTCTCTCTCCCTCTCTCTCCTCAGTGGCTTTGGAAAATAAAAGTCAGAGTCAACTCTCAGTAAGGGGAATCACTCCAAATGAATGAAAGTCAATTTCACTTCAGTTTCAGCCTTAGAAAGGCCCAAAGGAGTTGAGAAGAAAAGAAAAAAAAATTAGAGGTGAAAAACAAATCCCAAACAGAAACACAGTAAGTTCTAAGCCAGCTTACTAATGTCAAGTGAGTTTGGACCATTTTCCTCAAATATGTAACCGTGAAATGGAAACAATCCAGGAAACAAGCATAGCAAAGCCCCTCAGTGTCCTTAAATGGCTGCTAGGGCCTTTATCACACTCCCTGGAAAATTGCTTCTAAATTCTCTGCTAACTTCAGAACTGTGTGACACTCACCATAGGGATATGCTCACTAGCATTGTCTGGCATTCATATTAACAAACACAAAATTGTGAGTTCCTTGAGGACCAAGGCTGTGTCTTATGCCTCACTGGATCTCCAGAGCTTCCCACATCCTGCCTCTCATTCCATTAGGCAGATGTGAAAACAAAACCAGCCAATCTATAAAAGCAAACTGGAGAGAGAAGGGGCTGCTAGTCCAAGGATGATACCAAAACCCCTCAGGTCAACTGGGGAATGAACAGAGGAAAAAAAATTCCTCTTGAGCCAAGACCTGCCTCTTTGAGCCTTTGCATACTCCAACCCCAAAGAAAAGGCTCTTCTAACTGCCTCTGTCCGTCCCAGAACTGGATAGTTCTGTTGCTCCTCTTGACTCAGCCTCAGCACTCTGTGTCTGGACTCCAGACATGTTCTCCTGGGACAGCAGGATGTTGGAGTAGTTAATAGGGTAGGCTTTGTCAGCAGACCAAGTTGAATTTTACTATCTTCCCACCAATCACTAGCTGCATGACCTTAGGAAAATTACCAAGCCTCATCTTGTTCATCCATCTCATCTAAAACATGGGGATAAATAATAAATAGGAATACCTATTCTCCTAGGGAAGTTGTAGAAATTAAATTATATCTTCCACTTAAAGTGCCTAGCACAGTGCCTAGAGCTTAGAAAATACTGATGAAATGTTATTGTTCACACCATGGACAATACCTAACATTTGGTGACTGGTCCATAGCATGGAGCAGTTCTCCAAGACCCATGATCCTTGCAAGAAAACCCTGCCACATACTCCAACCAGGTCAAAGCAACCCCTCAGAGAGAAAGTTCTCCACTAAAGTCAGAAAACCCAAAGCCCAGCTTCCACTAAGTTTATCAGTTTTTCAAAAGATTCCTTCATGGAGCCTTCAGAAACTAGTCCCATCTATTGCTCACTTTCTTCACCCACTGCTCTGCCAAACCACACAGGGATGAAAGTGGCTATGGCTTGGTAGAGAGTAGACGGCTGGACACAGGAGAGCAGAGACAACCACTGACTGTCAGCATCCAACTTCCAGGCCAACTAGCCAGACACCGGGAGAGTAAATTGCAAAACAATAAACAACAAAGTCCATGAATTGAAGATGCTTGACCCTTCATTCATGTGCTCAGTATTGCAGGCAATTTTTTCATGGCAACCTCACTGTCCTGAGACCCAAGAGTTGGAATGACTATTTGGATTATATTAAAAGTCTCTGACTTCCATTCGTGAGACACTGTGTTTAATTTCTAGCAAAGGAGCTGAAGGTTAGAGTTCTGTGTATAGCAGGGGCAGTGTGGGCCATCGATGTCCCTTCCCAGGAGCTGGTCACCCTGTGTGGCTGGTGAAACTGCCATTCAGCCAAAGAAAAGCTATATAAATGCAGACAGCTCCACACCCTAGATCTCTCATCAACAGCTAGAATCTGATCAGCAAGTCTCACTCCCTAGGTTAATTTATTTAGTTTAGTTTGGTTTTATAACTTATTGATAATTCAGACCATGAGTAAAAGAAACATTTCTCTCAGGCTTCTACCAAAATTCAGGGACTTCCCAGTCTGATCCTACACATCAGGAGGGCAGTTTCTAGGCAATCAATAGGCACACCTGTCTCCCTTTTGTCCCCTACCACCGGAGAACCACCCCCTGAGAACCCCAAATACAAGGGAGGGCATCACCCTCATTCCCCTCCCTAGAGAAGACACATTAGTGGGGGTCCACTAGGCAGCTGGACCTGATGTGATTCCTACTCACCCTCTGGGCTTCAGATCTTGCTCTCTTGTTCTTTCCATCAAGGGATACACAGTACAGAAACTCTCTCAAGGCTTCCTCCACCTTGCCTAGGGTGGCTAAGGCTTGTGCTTTTCTGAAGTGTGCCTGGAAGAAAACACTAGCTTTCAATCCCATCTTATTCACATTATTAATGCTGCTACTGTTCATGACAACTGCTGAGCGATCACTATTCTACGAAATGTTTTAAAAGCATTCTTTCATCTACAGCTCTCTAACATAGGAAATTCTTCTGAATCCCATTTCAAAGAAGACAAGACTGAGACTCACAGGTGCACCTCACCCAGAGAAACACAGCTGGTAAATTGTGGCATCAGAGTTAGAACCTGAAACTGACTTTACCAAAGCCCATATTTTTAACCATCATGAGAAGGCCCATTTGGATATTGTCTTCCTCTGCACTCGTCTGTCAAGCAGAGACCTAGTCAACACAGGGGCTTGCTTAGGCATCTAGACTTGCTGGTCATTTCTCAGAAGAGGAACAAAAGAATGAGCACAACATCTCCAAGACCTCAGAGATTGCTAGTGGCAACGCTGGCACTAGAACTGTGGTCTCAGGACTCCCACAGCCCTCTTCCCCACAAAGCAGAGTGCCCCTCAGAGGGCAACTCACTGGCTGACTCCATGAATTTGCTCACTTCTGCTGCCTCGCCACATCTTTTACAAGCAAATTTGGGGCTCTTCAGGGTCCAACCCCAAGGCCCTGGAAGAGACTAGAGCGAGCGTGGCAGCATCCTAGGGAAGAGGGAGGAAGAAAAGAAAATAGGGGAGAGAGCTGGCTTCTCTTCATGCAGTGGCTCCTCCGTGGGGATGGCTGGGAACTGCTTTCTTGAGCAGTGGCCCCTGTGAAAGCCTCTTGGGGACCTCTTTCCATGCCTTCACCTCCTTCTGGAGCCTAATCTTAGCTGACAAGTAGATGCTGATGTCCTCTCTTGTTGCTCCTCCCAGCAGTGTTTACCAGGGACCTTCTAGAGAAAGGCTACGTGACATTGCAAGGTGGAAGGCATAAGTATTGGGAGACTGGAAAGGCTTCTGGGATCCCACTAATCAACCAAGTGCCAACTCATGTGCTCCACCTGTGCAGAGCAGCAAGCGCAACCTACTGAGATCTGTACCACCTGCAGGGTGTACTGAATACCTGGGGCCCTGGTTGGATGGCTGGAGTAGGCCCCCAGGTGAAACCCTCCCTTGAGGCATTTCACATCCAAAAGGTAGGATACATGCAAATTGGATGCAAGATTCTTTTGAATTATAAATATCAGTTCTTTCAATCCCCAAGATAATAGAGAACCCTCATCCCTTCCCTCCCCCTTACCCCACAACTGTGGGGAAATGAAACTCCTGCCTAATTCTTGCACCAACTGAGCCTTCACCATGGAAGTCACTTTTCCCATTTAATCCAAAATCTGCTTCTCAGCCCTACTTCCAATCACGATACCAAGGTCTTCAACCCTAGGCTTAGGATGAGAGAGGAATTAGTTCCAAGAGAAGTCCACTTATCCCCAGGAAATTCCCTCAGTTACACAACTAGATGGACTCAAACCCCACCACCACCACTACTAAGCCCCTTTCAGTTAAGACATTCGTGACTTGCACTGAACTGTAGAAGTGCTCCTTCAGAAAGAGGACATTATTGTTCCACCACCATTTGTGAAAACTCTCATGAAAGAACACAGGAGATTCACCCTGACATTACTGCAGAATATACTGGCCCACAATATCTTATCTGAAGTTCCTAGATTTCCCTCCTCCTCCAAATTCCAATAATCCAATATTTTTAAAGTTTAACCTCAGAATTCATTAGGTGACAAAACCTGACCTAAACTGACGTAAAGTATTTTAAAGTATTTATCCTACTTAGTGTGAATTTTACATAATTTGCTGCTCAGCTAGTGTGCTTACTTAGTGTGACTGGGACACTGTCTAGAGCTCATTGAGGGTATTACCATGTATATGGCCTTCCAATAATCACAAGCATGGTGGATTCTGAATATATCTGATCCCATGAGATTCAGATAATGCATCAAGGCTTTTGGACTTGGATATGGTGGTTTTTCAGTCCTGGGATTGTGCAGAGAAAGCACTACATAAAACCCAGCAGGATTTTCAGTTTGCAGAATGTTCTTTGGCCACACTCACCTTTGATCCTAACACATGCGTGTGAGGCAATCAGGGTAGATAGCAACAGCATTTTTTCTTTTTACAGCTAATGATATTTGAATTTCAGAAAGTAAAGCCACTTCCTTCATGGTCACCTTGGCTGCAAGAAGTACAGCCCAGACTCAAACACAGTCTAAACAAAATGCTGATATGTGTCCGAGGCCAGGAAGAGATGCTGAAACTGACATTTGTATCCTGGCATCCTAAGAGATGTCTAACCTGACTTCTTCCCACTCCTTCAATGTGACCTAGATATCTGGGGACACCAGCAGGTTGAGTGACTATAGTAAGGACTCAGAATGGCACAACCATTGTGTGAGTGTGGGGATTTCTACAAAGAAAGCTAACAAAGCTCCTAAGAAACTAGATGCTACTAATTCAGGAGGGCCACTCCAGGAATCCTTCTCTCACACTTTTTCTACTGTCCTTGAAAAATTATGGTGATAGGAAATATTTATATAATGCTATGTGTCAGGTACTGTTCTAAGCATCTTCCTCAGTGAGCTCATACCATCCTCATCACAAGAGCAGGTGCTTTGAATATCTGTATTTTATAGAGGAGATGAATCACAGAAAGGGTGAGTAATTTGCCCAAAGCCACCCAGCTTTAAAAGTACCAGGACTAAGACATGAACCCAGGCAGTCTGCCTCCCAATTCCATATTCTGGAGAGTCACAAAGCCCAGGCTGTTGTGCAGGTCACCACTTGAAGATAAAATTAGGGAACAATCTAGTTCCCTTGAAAGTTTGACTCACCCTTTGCCAAGGGATGCCCCACACCCTGGCTCCTTTGAAAAGTCCTCTTTCTGCTCTACTTGAGTTCTAGTCCCCTACCTCCTTGGGAGGAGGCCTTTCCTGACACCTGTTGTCTACAGTACAGCCCCTTCCCATCCCCGCTGTTTGACACTCACCTTAAAACCCATTGGGCGGAGTTTACAAGCTATTTCTGCATCATGCAGGGCATCTTCATGAGATTCCAGAGTGAAATAAATTTGAGACCTGTTGCTATAAAGCAAGTGGTCATTTGGAGCTGCCAAAATGAGAAAAAAAAGGAGCTGTCATTAATAACCCCCAGCACAAGCACATGATAAGTCCTGTATGAGGATGGATCTTGAACAAGTGACAAGTTACCTAGGATTTTTTTCTACCAGGGATCCAAAGGGTTAGGCTGTATGTCCAGTTCTAATATAGTCTTGCCTTCCACACCACCAGCCATTCCGGGTCAGTTTCCCCAACTTCAAAGAAGTAAATTCCCCTTACCCCTTTCAAGCAGTTCTTCAGAGGCATTGCAGTGTGTGTGGTACATTAGAAACTTTGACCTAGAAGAAGCCCTAGCACCCTGCTTCTTGGCTACACACAGTTAGTGCCTGGCAGCCTGGCTTCTGAGTGGCATATCACCAACAGAACAGGCCAGTCAGGGAAGAGACACAGGTAGCCAGATGTGACCCCTAGCCTGATCCCAGCAAGTCAAGACAATGTTACTCTTGCGGGTGAGATGACTGGTGATATTAGCAACATCTGGGTCTGCAAACCCCAGCACAAGTGAAACATCCCTGAAGGTTATGAAAATGCATTTACAAGGTCCTATCCTCCCATTACAGGTGGCCAAAAATGAATGAACCTGGACAAGACTTCTGTGAATAAAATAAGCCTGATTCTCACCAACACTCTCAGCTGGATAGGCCTCTAGAGATCATCTGGTTCAACAGATTTCCCCATTCTTCAGATGGGGAAAATGAAGGCCATAAAGGGGACCAAATCTGCTCAAGGTCACACAGTAGCTAGTCAAAGTCACTGCCAACTTGTCAGACTTTGCAATCTTTGAAGCTTTGGGGGGGGGTCCTTTTTTCTGAACATGGGTGTAATATCTAGAAAAATGAGACACTGGTCATTTTCTAGAACAAAGATGCTCTGTTGGGGAAGCCCTTTTTGCTCTTAGAAGAGGAAAGCTGGTCTTGAAAGTTTTGCCCTGATTGCCTGGAGGGGGTGGTTAACCAAGGTACACTGGAAGATGCTGGGGTGGGCAGTGGTGGCAGAATGGGGGCTGGGAGGTTTCTGGCTGACTGGGGGGCGGTGGCTGAAAGCAATGGATCCCTTGAGATCTGTACTCTAGTGGCCTCTACTTCCATTCATATCGCTCTTTTCCTCTCCCAGCTCTGAGCTCAGCTACTGCTGGCAGCAAACTCCAATGGGGTTTTTCCAGGAGCAGGCTCAGGGCTCGCCTGGGAGTCCATCACTTGCTCTGAAGACATTAGCGAAGTATTTACAGCCTTTCTGCCCCATCTCTTCTGCAACACATGCCAGCCCAGTGGCGGATCACAGCCTGCCTTGCCTGGGCACAGATAGTTGGTGGGGTCCTTCAGCCCGCAGCCTTCCCCAGTCAGCCCTGTTTGTCTCGTTGTCCCCATTACCCACTGCAAGTTTGAGTGGACATTCAACAGGTGGAGACGCCAGCCCACCTCACCTCCAGTCATCAGAGCCTGGCCCGGGGCACCCTCGGAACCCAGAGCCCTGTCTGCCCAACCCTGCCTGCCTTGCCTGCCGCCTCCGCCCTGGCATGCTTCGTCAGACGCTGCGACCGGCCGGCAGAGCTGCTGGCACGCTGCCGGAGCTGGGCACTACCAGCCGGCGGTTTGGCGGCCACTTCCTGGGTCCGGGCGTAGGGGATCGGAGGAGTAAACCCGGTCTCTGAAAGAACTCGGATGCGCGCGACAGGCCAGAGGTGTGGGACTGCTCACTTTGCCCTTGAAGCTGCAAAGCCCACACAATCCTCTTCAAGCAGCAGCGGAAAGCGGCACAGAGGCGTGCCTCCTTCATAAGCAGCCCATGTTTCTAGGGGATCCCCCGGCACTTGCTAGGTCCGGTTGCTAGGCTGGCGGCGAGGTTAAGGGACTGGAGGCGAGGCGCGGGCTGCTGGCTGGCAGCGGCAGCGCGCGGGGGGCGGGGGGGCATCTATTTTAGCCAAGGATCGTGTGATAGGAAGCGGTGACAATGAGTCACAGGGCAGCGGGGCGCGAGCGCCCCCCCCCCCCCCCCGCACACGCTCGAGGGATGGTTTCCGAGGCGAGCGTGGCCCACTTTGGTTACCTCAGCCGTTACACAATCCAGCCCGCCCGCCCGCGCGGAGGAGGGGCCGCCTGGCCCGGGCCGCTCGCGGCCCTTATGCAACCAGTGCTCTCCTGACCTAATTCCAGGCCGGACCCACCCCACGGGGAGCCGCAGCCCCGGAAGGGACAACTCCCAGAGGCGGGAGCGACAGACGCAGGCGCGACGGGACATCTAGGGCCGGCAGGAGAGAAGAGGACGCGGCGCGACTGTGGGAAGGGTGCAAAGTTCCTCTCCCGGCGGAGGAGGTGAGGGCAGGTTCGAGAGAGATCCCAAGAGTGCAGAGGAAGAAGGAGGGGAGACGGACAGAGAGGGCGACACCAAGCAACACAGAGTGACTGACAAAGATGAGAAGGGACAGCGAAAAAGAGGAACAGAGTGACACACAGAGGTTGAAAGACACAGAAACAAAAGCTAACAGGACAGGCTCAAAAAGACAAAAAACGAAAAGAAAAACAAAACACCAAACAAACTGCCAAAAGGAAGATAGGAACACTGTAAAGAAGGCTCAAACGGAGAAGACAAAGTCTCGGAAGTCGTCCTCCTTCACTCTGGCAACCCTCCATTTGAGGCACCCCTCGGCCTGGGTCACTCTCCCTCCCGCTGGCGTCGTGACCAAGCCCCAGCCCGCGGCGCGGTGGGGGCTCACCTAGCCTAAGCGCCTCATTGTACTTCAGCAGCGCCGCCTCCACCTGGCGCTCTCGGTACAGCCGGTTGCCCTCGTGCCGGAGTTGCGACGCCCGCGCGGGGCCCGGGAACAACTTGCCGAGGAGGCCGCTGAGCACCACGTTGACCCGCAGCGGCGGCGGCGCCTGCTGCCCAGCCCGCCGGGCACCGCGCGCCCTCCCGGTGGCCACCATCAACGCGGACAGCTTAACCCCGCACAGCGCACAGCGCCGGTCAGCCGCCCGCCCACGTTCTAGGCACAGTTTACAAAAGGTGTGGCCGCAAGACAAAGACACCGGGTCTGATAAAAATCCGTGACACTTCCGGCACTTAAAGCCATCCCAAACCTCAGTGGCCGCGGCTGCCGCCACCCCTGCCTCTTCCGCTGCCACGGTGCAGCCTGTCGCGCTGCTCTTGTCCGAGAGAGCCGGAGCGGGCGCCTGTGACTCGTCTTGCGGGACGTTCTCTGCCAGGCAGCGCACCAGCTGCTCCAGCTGCTCGGCCACCAGCTGCTGCCGTTCAGAGAGCTGTCTGTATACCTCGAGGGCTTCCCGAAGGCGCCCCCCAGATGCCAAGGCGTCGGCCTGTGAGAGCAGGACTTTGCACTCCGGGGGCGTCGAGGTCCTTGGAGGCTGCTCTTGCTCCGGCTCCGGAGGTTCGGGACCCTCTGTAGCCGCCTCCGGGTCGGGGCCCGTGTCTACTTCAGCCGCTGGTGACTCCCGCTCCGCCGACTCTGCCAGCTCTAAGTTGTTGCTGCCCAGCTCGGCGGGCAAGCTCAACATCTGTTCGGTCTGAAACGAATCCATTGTGAGAGGACCCGCGCTGGGAAAGGCGTTTAGGGACCGGGGACACGGATCAAGGAGTGACGGTTGGCAGGAATCGGGGCTTCCACGGCCGCGGTGCTGCCGCGCACCCGGCTCCGGCTCCGCCGCTCCTCCGTGAGCTCCATACCGGCCGCCCCGCGCCGCCTAATAACTGTCTTGTCTCAGCAAAGTGTTATATAAAACGTGCCCACGTGACGCGCCACCACGCTGCTCATTGGCCAGCAGCGAGGAAATTGTTACAAAACCAGACAGTTTTGTAACAGTGTTGCGCTTGCTTCTTTCGGCTTAGCTTTTCTTGGCTTCTTTCGGAGGTTGTTTGTGTTTACACTCTGACTTACTCCCACCACCACCACCACCAGCGCCCCAAACTTGGCTTGTTTTTGGAAGGAGAGAAAACGAGCCTCTCCTCTCGGGCTTCTCAGTCTCCAAACCCCACCTCATCCCACCTCCAAACTGGCCAGCAAACAGGTCCTCTCTGCCAGCCGCTCGCCTCCGTCCGCTCCAGCCCTCCCTGGAGAGGCCAGTACCTCCAGGCGCGGTCCGCAGGGTCTTCTGGGACACAGAGACTCCTGCTTCCGCGAGGGACCCGGGCTCTCTGCCGAGGGAGGCGAGTCGGGTGGATCCTCGCGAGGCACCCCCCGCAGCGCACCCCGGCCCTACCTCCCTGGGAACCCCTCGATAGGTTTCCGTCTTTCCCGGGGCCCCTGAAAAGTGTTGCGTGCAGTATCCTAAAGACTCTTGGTCTTCCTGCCAGGAGCGACTCTGAGCAGTGGGTCTGGCGGGCGGCGGCAAAGAAGTTGGGCAAAGCTCGCTGGGAGGTGAGGAACTCGAGGAGAAGTGTTTGCCGGCTGTGGTTTGCACCGGGAGCGGGGCGCCCCTCCTGCCCTCCTCCTCATCTCCCCAAACTCTAGATAGAACCAGCGCTGGAGCCGAGGCGGCCGCCAGCTGGAGACACATCCTGACCCGGGAGCCACGGGCCGGATGGGCGCGGCCTCCAGAGCTGGGCCTGCTGGGCTTAGTGCTACTCTGAGGGCGTGGGAGAATGACAGGCGAAAGACACAAATTGAGAGCTCTGCTCTGGAGAAAGTTTGCAAAGCCTGGCACAGCTCTGCGGTCCATTTGTCTCCAGGATCACTGTTTCTGAGGGTGAATTTCTCACACTGCGTGTCACAGTGAGGAGCTGCGTGGTGGGGGGCTGGGCTTGTGCCTTGATGCATGTTCACAATGGCTAGGGGCATAGACTTCATCCAGGGTTTGCTGTCTAAACTATTAATCCCACACGAAGGTCCCAGAGAACAAGTACTGTGTATTGAGCCTAGAGCCTCTGTCTGATAAGATAAGGGAGGGGGAACAGAGGGAGGAAGACAGCAGCACATAGACAAAAGGAGCAACTGAAAAAATAAGCAGAAGCTCAGGATACAGCCAGGAAGGCTTAAGGAACACACAGAAAACTCAGCTTCATTTTCCAGGACATGGGGGGGAATTTTCCAGGTCTAAGTTTCTCCCGATCTCGAAGGTTCTTCCCAGCCCTGACTTTCAGTGGCCCTCAATCTTACAACCAGACTTCAGGATACTAAGTCAACTACTTAAGTACAAGTGACTAGTCCAGAGCCATGGTTGGGACTGGGGTTTGAAATTGATAGCAGTAGTAGGAAGGACATATGTGACTAAAAGACCTCTTAAGGTCGGGCCTGAGCCAGATTTTGAAGTCAGTCCAGGGACTGGCCAAGAGGTGGAGGTGGCCAAGCTAGCAGTAGAGGAGAAGCTAGTGGTTTTGGTGACTTGCTATCTGACTGAGGAGCTGGCTTCACCCCTCAGTTACCCATGCTGTCAAACGGGGTCCCTAGCACTACCCCTTCTGGTACCTGTGAGGAAAGACGGTCTATAGAGCAGGTGGAGAGGTTCATATAAAAGGGCCATGAGATAGTGATGAAAGCCTCTTAATTCAAGAGCTTTATCCTTTCTCTAAGAAATAAATGTCTGTTGCCCAAAACTGTTTTCCAGATGCAGACCTGAGATGTTCCTTGCTCCTTGAACCACCTTGCCAAGTGAGCATCCCCTGGATTGATCCCCTCTCTTGCACTGGGTTTACTTACCTTACCATGGTAAGTAAGAAGGGGAAGCAAGACCATGGGGAAGCAAGAAGGTCAGTTCAGGCAAAAGATCACAGTGCTGCAGCACGGAGAAGAGATGCCCTGTCCAGGTAGACCCTCTTGGCAGCTGCAAGCGCCAAGGCTGACTCAGGCATGTTAATAGCTGTCAGGGTGATGCAAGATGCGCTGGTGCAAAAGGCAGCACCACCTACTCACTGACCAGGCTCCACAGGGAGTTTTATGTTGTACAATTATAATCAGAACTGCCAGTAGGATGGCACCAAATGGGTTTCTAGTGAGTGCTGGAAAACTTCACCACAGTGGTTTTCTTTCTTCTTTCTTTAACAGATATTGCCTTGATATATATCTGTGAACCAACTCACAAGTCCCCTACTCAAAATGTCCTCTCTATGCTTACTAATTGGCATTCCCTGGGGCAGGTCACAGAGAAGACTGACAGCATCTTTTTTCAGATTCAAATATTTCCTTTGGAGGACCTACTTCCTTAAACTTTTTATTTGGCTAGGCTCACAGATGGCTAAGGTAAATTGGGAAGCAGTTTACCTTGAAAGAGTTGAGCTACTCCTCCTTTCTACTGACCATAGCAGTGGTTTTCCAGCTGGGCTCTGAAGAACCTCTCTCAGGCCTAGAGGACGAAGCAGGCAGGAACCAACCCTAGCTCCACTCCACTGGGGCAGTATTTTATGTAGCGAGTTTCCAGACTCAAGGTGATTAAAGAAAAGATTCCTCTTTAAAAGTTTGAAAGCCATGACAATTTTTGCTCATTTTCATATATATCACACCTTCTAAAGACCAGACGCTGATCTGTGTACTGAAGATATATCAAAGCAGCACTTAGCTCCCAGGTCAACCTCCCCCGCACCCCCGCACCACCACACATATGGTAGCACATCTTTGCCTCACACTTTTAAAACTTTGGTACTGGGGATTGAACCCAGGGTCAACACTTTACACTGAGATACACCCCACCCCTACCCTTTTTAATTTTTTCTTTTTCTTTTTTTTTGAGACAGGATCTCACTAAGTTGCCCAGGCTGGGCTTGAACTTGTGATCCTCCTGCTTTAGCCTCCCAGAGAGCTGGGATTACAGGTGTGTGCCACCATGCCTGGCTGCCCAATATGCTCTTGTACTGACTTTTCATGTATGTAGACTAGCTAGTCCATGAGTGTAAGGACTGGTGTCTTGTGTCTTTCGTTGCCTCTGAAGGCAGTGTTTCAACAGAGCTTACTGAACATGATGGTGCACATTTTGTTCCTTGCTGCTAGTGTGCAGAGGGACCACAAGAAGCCCTCTTTTCCCTAGCTCCTCCGCAGAGGAGAGAATAAACTGGCCATACAGGTAGTGCAGATAGTGAGTGCCTAACAGTCCTTAGGACCACTAAACAGCTCTGAGATAGAGTCCAGTTGAAGCCAGAGACCTGGGGATGAGATGAGGAGTGACATCTCCCCCCCTCCACCTTTCCATGGAAACTTGGCCAAATCATGAACTGACTCTCTAATTGAGTTTCTTATTTCATAAACGGGATCAATTTATAATTCTTACAGAGCAAAAAATAGTGCCATGGCTTTACAGGCATTCATACTAGGAAAAAAAAAAAAGAGACTGCCCATTGCTTTATAGAGTAGCCAAAATCCAGCACTAAAACAAAAGTTTACTCAGCAGCTCTGGTTCCACAAATGAAGAAACTGAGTGCCAGAGAAGACTAGTGACTTGCTGCTGGTCACAGTGGAAGTTTGTGACACAGCTAGGATTGGAAGCTTCAGCTCTTGTCTCTTTGTTTAGACTTTTTTCCATGTGATCAGAAAGTTTCCTAAGGACACAGAACACCTCTCTAAATAGATTATTTCAGATTTCCCATGTACAGGATTTCCATCAATTCAACAAATGTTCCTTGAACGTGTACTCTGTGCTAATGGAGCTGGCGCTTACAAAGCAAGAATAGAAGGGCATGACATGGTTCTTATCCACCAGTAGTTCACTGAGGAAACAAGAGGCACAGATTTGAAACAATTAAGTAACAAATACACGAGAAGCATCAAAATTGGAGGAACAGTGTGTCCACAGGAGTTCCCAAAGAGGACAGACTGCAATGTATCCCACTGCACATAGAAGGTGCCTTTAGGTAGGAGAGGATTTAAATAGTTGCTGCTCAATTCAAGGAGGCTGTGCCACATTGGGGGCTAGGTGAGGAAAAGAGAATTCCTCTCGTTAACTGGGCTGGTCAAGGTCCAGGGAAATATTTTTCCTTGTGCTGGGAATGGGACCAAGGGCCTCAGTAATGTCAGGCAAGCACGCTCCCACTGAGCTACATCCTCAGTCCCAGCAATTGTATTTTTAAAAGCTACTCATGTAATTGTGATGCTCTGCAAGTGTTGGTATTCACAAGTGCAATGAATACTGCATGGTAGATTAGAGCACTAAGCCCCAGTCCTTCTCTCCCTACCTGTCCTCGGTTTCCCTGAGGGAAGGGGCATCAATAAGCCTTCTCTACATTTTGCTAATGGACAAACTGAGGGTCCAGAGACTTTCAATGATGTGCTCAAGGTCACTCAGCAACTAGAGGGAACTCTGGGCTTCTGGAAACCAGTAGAAACAAAAAGAATACAAAATATCATCCCAAGGAAGATTTGCTTCATCCGTCTGCAAGACAAGTCAGACCCGCTCAGTTAGGCAGGGAGTCTGTTGCCCAAAGTACAGAAAGGAACAACTCTGGCGTTGCCAGGTGTGTGGGACAGAGCCCAGGGTGAGGTTCTAACTTTGCTGTGTGACTCAGCCCAAGCTACTTCCCCTCTCTATGTCTGTTCTCCTACTAATAAGGATGCTCAGAGTCATTGTTCAGATTATCTACCAGTGATGGAAAAAGCACAGCGCAGTTAGTCCTGATGTTATTTCTGGGAACAGAAGGGATCCACAACCATCTGCCAATTGTTATAAGTGAAATATGTGCTGACTGCCTCAGGCTAGGCATTTTCTTCCCAGGAAGAGAGTAAGCTGGGGGCCTGAGGCTGGGCCCAAAGTGAAAGCTCTACAGACCCTGGCAGACTCAGTCTGGTCTTAGGAGGAAAAAAATAAAATCCAGGTTCAGATATTCATCAGGAGTGAACTTTGTAAGACTTAGGCAGTACTAGGAAATGGTTAGAGACAGGGCTTGGGTTTTTTAAATTGTGCTAAAATATATACAACAAAATTTTCCATTTTAACCCCTTTTAGGTACCTGGCTCAGTGGCATTAACTACATTCACGCTGTTGCACAATCATCACCACCATCCACCACTAGAACTTTTTTCATCTTGTAAAACCAAAATACTACATGTACCTTCCAATTCCCCTTTTCCTCAAGTCCCTGGCAACTACTACTCTACTTTCTGTTTCTATCAGCGGGACTGTTCTGTGGACTCAAATAAGTGGATTCATATGTTATTTGTCTTTTATGACTGGCTTATTTCCTTTAGCATAATGTCCTAAAGATTCATCCATGTTCTGGTGTGTGTCAGAATTTCCTTCCTTTTGAAGACTTAGTGTTATTCTATTGTATGTCTATGCCACACTTTTTATCTGTTCATCCATTAGTGGATACTTAGGTTATTTCACCTTTTGTCTATTGTGAATACTGCTACTATTAACATGAGTATACACAAAAGTTTCTTAGAGGCCCTGTTTCAATTATTTGAGGTATATACCCAGAAGTGGAACTGCTGGATTGTGCAGTACTGTTACCAGCTACTCATCTGTTTGCTTGCTGCCCTCCAAACAAAGCACACAAACTATGTAAAGAAAATGGCTTTATTCAAAGTAGCTACAAGGAGATGGAGGGGCCTGACATAGTCGCAAATCTGTGCAAGGGCCTTTTACAGTAAGGAAGAGAGGGGGAGAAAGAATAGAATGAGACAACAGACAACTCCAGGTTTGCTTCCTTCCTCCCATCTCTTTCCCCTACCTCCCTTCTCCGTGGAAAGAAAGCTGGACTTTGACCTCTTGGGACTAGCATCTGCATCTTCTGGCCCTTCATCTGCCCTGAAAAGAGGAGGGAGTGAAGGTTTCCTTCCTAGGCCTGAGGAAATTTAGAAAAGCCACTTGTCTAAAAAAAATCTAGTTTTTAATGTTATTTTGCCCTGCCAGTTACAATTTAATGGTGCTTCTGTTTTGGAAGAAATCTCCATAGTATTTACAGCAGCTGCACCATTTTACATTCCCACCTGCAATGCACAAAGCGTCCCAATTTCTCATATCCTTGCCAATACTTGTTATTTTCTGTTGCTTCTTTGTTGATAGTGACCATGCTAATGGTTGTGAAGTGATTATTTCATTGTGGATTTGATTTGCATTTTTCTAGTAATCAGTAATGTTGAGCATATTTTCATGTGGTTTTTGGCCATTTGCATATGTTCTTTGGAAAAATAGCTATTTGAGTCCTGTGTCCATTTTAAAATCATAGTTTTTTTCAGTGTTAAATGTTAGGCATTCACTATTCTGTGTAATGTAATTGTGAGATATATATATATGAGACAGACACAAAATGTATACATACTTCAGGAAAAGAAAAACGTATAAATATTTTAATACTAAATTTATTGAGACATCATGAGATTAATACAAGTTACCTTTGGCCTGTAAAATTACAAGAGGTGCTCAAAGTGGTAGGCATTAGTTTCCAAACATTAGTATGGTAAACTGCTTGGGTAACCTTAGTCATTGAGATTGCTACACATGCATTTTCAGTTTCTTCTCTAGGGGTCCGAAGTGTAGTGGGTTCTCTGTGATATATGACATCCTCTAGGGTCCCCATACAAGCGTAACACCATCTGTTGAAAAAACATCATAGGATTTTTCATTTCCTGAAGTGAGTATATTCCTCTCTCTCTCTCTCTCTCTCTCTCTCTCTCACACACACACACACACACACACACACACACACACATTTTATCTATCATCTATTTCTTTATTGGATATGTAATTGGCAGATTTTTTTTCTGCCACTTTGTGGATTGCCTTTTCACCTTCTTGACTGTGTCCTAGCTGAAGACTTTAGCAGTGCTTTGGTTTTGAACTCAAAATTCTTGGATTGAAAATCTGGCTATGTGACGCTGGGCAAGCTACCTAACCTCTTTGAGCCCACCATAGTTTTCTCATCTGAAAAACAGAGACGATTTTTTTATAGTAGGACTGAGCATATAAGATCGCTATGAGGAGTAAATGAGATCATCATGTAAACTGTTACCTCAGAGTCTACCCCAGTTTAAGTGCTTGTAAGTAGAAACCTTTATTTAGTATGTGCTTAAGGAACTAGAATGATGTAACTGAAATATGATATTATTTATTATCAAATGGATGAGTAGGCCAACCATACTAAGTGACCAATATGAACACAATAATATTACATAATACTTAACACGTGTAGCAAGTTACAGTTTATAAAGCATTTAAACATTCATGATTCATTCAGTAGGCTCCAATGAGGCCATAAAGATGGATAAGACAAAGTCCTGTAGAACTGAGTGGGAGGAATCAACAAGGAAAAAGGCAGTTTCAATCAGGCTAAGTACTAAGAAGACAGAAGCACAGAAAGCTGACCAGGATGGAGACATGAAGAAAGAGCAGTTGAGGCTGGGGGAGGACCTAGCAGGTGGGTTATGACAGAATTCTTCAGGAATACAAGTTTATACTAAAGGGGCAACAAAAAGTGAGCTCAAGGGGCCTTAGCATTCTTAGTAGAGGAAGAAGCTAGTGCAAAGGAGGTGAGAGAGGGTGGTTTGTTGGGAAACATCTATTAGTTTATTATGGCTGGAGACCAAAATTTCAGAGGGAAGAATGATGTGGAGTGAGCCTAGAGAGGCCAGCAGCTGTCAGATCATGAAGGGCCTGTGGACCAGGATAAGGAGTTGAAATTTTTATCCTGAAAATAACGAGCTACTGAAAGGTTTGCAATAGATGGGCAATGTGACTGAGTTTGCCTTTAAGAAAAGCTTCTTCAGCTGCAATGTGAGGAGTGTAATAAAGAGGATGCAACTACAAAAAAAGTAATGAGGATAGATATATAGAGGTCAAGAGACACTTGGGATAACATCAGTCAGATGTGGGACTGAATGGATGACCTCAGTTCACTCTTTGGGAGTAATTCGAGTGTTATCACTTCATTCAAGCTGAGTAATGCAGGTTGAGGAATGCTAAGTGATCTATACAAAGTCTTACAGATGGAAAGTATCCAATCAGAATTCTGGCTTTCCCCCTCAACAACCCCTGTTCACTTCCCAAGAAAATACTGGAAGTTTTCAGATCTGTATGTGTAAAACCCTTTAAGGAACTCATGTCCTATTTCCCCATTGACAGTTACACAGCAATCATTCCAGAAGTACATTATTATCTGAGTTCTTGTCTTCCATATACTATGACTTCAGACTCTGGAGCTTCAAGGCACTCTTTTACTTTCCATTCTACTTAGTGTTTAACGAATAGCCTGTAAGCAAATACTTCCATCTCTGCAAGGCTCAAATAAACAGCCTGAAGTTTAGAAAGTATGAGCCCAAGTCCTAATTTGGCCAAAAATTATTTAAGCAGCAACATGGGTTTCTGATCTCATACTATCCTTGTACCTGATAGGGACTGTTCCTGCAACTCTACTATTCTGCTCACCAGGCAGTATCTCCCTGCCCCATAATTACTGAGTATGGTGCTATCAAACTCTAACTGTTAACCAAGATACATGGGTATGTTTTTACCTGAGACACTGATACTGCTAATATGGGCGGGGTATTCACTGAGCTATAAAATTAGCAGAAAGAGGAAAAGGCAAAGGAAGTGCCCTACTAGTCATCTTCTCAACAGGACTTCCACCAAATCCTGTAGGTCTGCCTCCAGCCAGGACATTATCCCTGCTTTCCCTACAGTCAGAAACCCTCGGAAGACTGGCGTACACTTTAACAGTGTCTCTTGGAGGCAAGTTCTACCTTTGCTGCTTTAACTAGTCAGAGGATGCTGCTTATCCTGTGAAGCCCCAGTGCATCCTCCTTTGGAAATTTGTCTTAGTTACTTTCTGTCACTGATGCATGGTTGGGGGGGCTCCAAGGGAGAAACAGCATGGTGGGAGAGAACTGCTTACATCATGGCGGTCAGGAAGCAGAGAGCAAGGCAAGAGCTCAGGACAAGGCTATACCCGTCCAAGTCAGGTCCCTAGTGACCACCTCTTCCAACCAGGCCCCACCTCCTAACAGCGCATTCAGCTAGTGAACTCATTCCTGGATGAGTTCACTGATGAATATAGTGCCTCCACGATCCAATCACCTTTTAAAAGTCATTCCTCTAAGCATGAGTCTTCTGGGAGGATATTCTAGATCTTAAACATAACAGAAACTTTTCGGAGAAAAGCCTGCACTGACCACTCCTGACTGTCTGCTGAAAAGCTGAGTGAGTCATTCTACTGCAGGTAAACATGCTTGGGTCAGAGATGCTTCACATGTCACTCTTCTCTCCCAAAAAGATGGTGAGCCCCTTGTTGCTAGAGACAGTCATTCTCTGTCCCTAGGAATGACTGCCAAAGAGGCACTGCATACTGGCATGCAGTAAATACTTTGCTGATTGAGAGCAAAGCAGAAAATTGTTCTGAACTTTTCAAGGATTCTCAAGTCAAAGGCATTTTCTTCTTTAGGCCCAGTTAATTAACCTGCTCTCATGTTGCCCCAGAAACTGGACAGACAAGAAGCCATTTTGTTTCAACTTTGGATTAGTAATAAGGAAATTTTGGTTACAGTCCTAACTGCCACGAACTAGTGAGAAGTTTGGCAAATCAGTTAACTGCTTTTGGACTCAAGCCTCCCTCAGTCTCAACAGAAAAAAATGGGGAGACCTGCTTTTGGCTAGGCAGTAAAGCAAATGAAATAAAATAACGTACAATACAATACAGACAACATGAAGCAAGAGTTTTGAAGACAGTAGACAATAGGCAGCAAAGGACACTGACCCCAGAGAGACTGGAAACAAACAAGATGAGCCCTGTGAATGCACCAGCTTAGTTTGTACACATCTTTCTTGAGCCATAATTCATACACAATGCACTCATCTGTACAATTCACAGATATATTAGCATATTCACATAATACAGCTATCAAAAAGTTTATAACATTTTCATCATCTCAAAAGGAAATTACCTGCCCTTTAGTCATCACCTCTCTGCTCCCCATCCCCCTCAGCAATTATTCATCTACTTTCTGTCTCTATAGATATCCCTATTCTAGAAATAACAAATAAATACAATCATATAATATGTGGTCCTTGTAACTGGCATCTGTCAATATAAAATTCATCTGTTTTATCATGTATCAGTAATTTATTCATGTTATGGCAAAATGATATTCCATGGTATGAATATAGCACATTTTGTTCATATATTCATCCGTAGATGGACATTTAGATTGTTTCTACATTTTGGTTGTTGTGAGTAATGCTGCTATAAACACACCTCCCAGAGTGTTGGGATTACAGACATGTTCCACCATGTCCAGCTATGATGCTGTTATGGCTTAGATCTGAAATGTCCCCTAAAAGTCTTGTGTTCGGAAATCGGGCTTGGTCAGAGGCGTCAGGTCATTGTTTGTGTGACCTGGGTGTATTTTTTCCCTCAGCTCCTCCCTTCTCTTCCTCTGCTTCCAGGCTGCCATGCGGTGAGCAGGTGTTCTCCACCAGGACTTTCCAATGTGCTGTTTCTGCCTTGGAGCCATGGACTCAACCTACTGGAAACTGCGAGTGAAATCAACCTCTCCTTTAAGTTGCAGGTGCTGGGAATTCTGTCCCAGTGACAGGAAAGTGACTAAAACAGATGGTGTCTTTTGAAACACAAAAGCTTTTAATTTTGATGAAGTCAAATCTGTTTTTTTTTTTCTTGCTCATTCTTTTAGTGGCATAAAGAACAATCGTTTGCTGAATCTGAAGTCATGAACATTTACCCCTCTGCTTTTTATAAGAATTTTATAGCTGTAGCTCCTGTATTTAGCTCTATAACTCATTTTGAGTTAATTTCATACATGGTGTAGGGAATGGTTCGATTCAATCTTTTTACATGGGGCTCTACAGTTGTCCTGGCACTATCTGTTCTTTCCTCACTGAATAGTCTTGGTACTCCCAGCAAAAATCAGTTGATTGTGGACATGTTTGTAATCTTAGCTACTCAGGAAGCTGACAGGAGGAAGACAAATTTGGGGACAGCCCAGAAAGCTTAGAAAGATCCGATCTCATAATAAAATGAAGCAGTTGACCACAGACATATGGTGTTTTTCTAGTCCACTGATGTGTACGACTATCCTTCTGCCAGTACCACACTGTCATGCTTACCAATGCTTTGTATTACAAATTGAAATTAGGAAATATGAATCCTCCTACTTTGTTCTTTCTTCTCAAGATTGTTTCAGTTATTCTGGGTCACTTGCAATTCTATATGAATTTTAGAATCAGCTTGTCAATTTCTAAAGAAAAACTAGCTTCATATCTTACAGGCATTGCACTGAATCTGTAGATTACTTTGGGAGATATTACCATTTTAACAATATTAAACCTTCTGACTCAGGAGCACAGGGTGCTTCCATTTATTTTGACCTTCTAAATTTCTCTCAAGTGTTTTGTACTTTTCAAAGTATAAATTTTTATGCCTTTTCTTAAAATTATTCCTAAGTATTTTACTATTTTGATGCTATTGTTAACTGAATTGTTTCTTTAAAACTCATTTTGGATTGTTCATTGCAAGTATATATACAACTTTTTGTAAAGTGATCTTATATCCTGTGTCCTTGATCAGCTTGTTTTATTGGATACAAATTTGTTGTGGAGTCCTTAGGATTTTCTACATAAAAGATCATCTCTGCAAACTGAAGTGGTTTTACTTTTTTCCTTTCCAGTCCAGATGACTTTTTCTTGCCTAATTGCCCTGGGTAGAGTTCCAGTACAATGCTGAGATCCTGGCATCTTTGTTTTCTTTCTAATCTTAGTGGTAAAGCATCCATTCTTTCACCATTCAGTTGCTGTTGGCTGTAGAGTTTTCATAGAATCTTTTAATGAGTTTAGAAAGCTCCCTCCTCTTCCTAGTTTGTACCATATTTTTACTGTGGAGGGGTGTTGCATTTTGTAAATGCTTTTTTCTGCACCTATTGAGATGATACTATGTGGTTTTGTTTTTATTCTACTGCAATGGTATACTGATTTTCAGATACTAAACCAACCTATATTCCTGGGTTATTTGCATCCATATTTAAAAAGTATATTAGTCAGCAGTTGTTTTTTTTTTTTATCTTTTTTCTTTTTTGGTACCAGGAATCGAACTCACAACCTCATGCCTGCCAGGCAGGCACTTGTGTCGCTAAGCTATATCCCTGGCCCTAGTCTATAGTTTTCTTATGATTCTTTGGTTTTGTATCAAGGAAATCCTGGCCTATTAGAATGAATTGGGAAGTGTTTCATCCTTTTCTGTTTTAGAGAAGTATATAAAGAATTAGTGTTAGTTCCTTAAATGTTTGTTACTACTCAGTGGTAAATCATCTGGGCTTGGAATTTTGCTTGTGGGCAGTTTATTAATTTTAATTATAGGTTCAGTATCCCTTACCTGAATTTGATTTCAGTTTTTTTGATTTTGTAATATCTGCATGTACTTAATGAGATGTCTTGGGGAATGTGACCCAAGTTAAAGATGAGTATTTATATTTTTATATATCTTATACACATAGACTGAAGGGAATTTTATATAATATTTTTAATGATTTTGTGTATGAAACAAAATTTCATGGTGTGCAATTTTCCACTTTGTCATTTCTTCTTGAGTCCATTTTAGTAGTTTGCATCTGTCTAGGAATTTGTCCATTTCATCTATCTACTTATTGGCATAAAATTGTCCATGATATTCCTTTAAAATATATTTTACTCCTGTAATGTTGGTAGTAATGTTCCCTCTTTCATTTTTTACTCTAATGACTTGAGTCTCCTGAATTTTTTTTCTTATTCTATCTTGCTAAAATTTGACAATTTTGTGGATCTTTTCAAAGAACTAGCTTTTGACTTCATTGATTTTTCTCTATTCTTTTTCTATCATTTATTCCATTAATTTCCACTCCATTATTTTCTGCCTTTGGCTTGCTTTAAGTGAAAATTACTGAATAAAATATTTCCTTATATTATTTGTGTTGGTTTTGCTTCTTAGCCTACCTTACCTTCTTAGAAAGCTATCATATTCCACCAATGGAGAGGTGTAAGTTCTTGTATCGCTATCCAATATATATTGTCAAATTAAAGCAATTTTTTGTAAAGAAATAGATTTCTAGCCTCTGAAACTTACTGTTAAACATATGGCCCATGGAGCATGAGCATCAGTGATATCTAAAAGCATTGCAGAAATGCAGAATATCAGACCTTTTGTGGGCCTCATGAATCAAAACCACATAACAAAGTGCACATGTAATTACTATACACATTAAATTTTAAGATATACACTGACATAGAAGCACCACTACTGAAGGAAACCAAAGTGATGAGCCACATATGCCATGGTCCATGTGATGTTGAAGAACTTACACTTAGATTTTGGTTTAGAATGTGAAGAAGCTGAGCTTGGTCTAAGACAGGAGTGGGCTTAATTCACTGGAATGGGACTTACGCAGGTAAACTGAACAGAACACCAAGGTCTGAGCTGAGGAGAAGACTACAACTCACAGTGGCTGAGACAGAGAAAGGCCTCTTGGAAGGGCAAAGACTGAGTTGAGGTAGTAGAAAAATGAGTAAGGGAAAAGCTAGTTCTGGAAGGATATGAACATTATCATAGTACCCATATGAATTTTAAAAACATTCCATACATTTTATAAATACACATACATGGGGATTATGCATAAAATGTATGTGTATGCATATATACATGCATATATAGTCTTTATAGAAAGACATGTATAAGAATGATAACACATTTAAGATAATGGTTACCTCGTAAGTGAATTATTTATCATGGTATCTAACAAACTGACAAATTACCCCATCAATATACATACATATAAAGTCTTTATACAGTCTTTATGTTATGGTTTGTGTCTAGATGTCCCCCCAAAGCCTCATTGCAGACATGGGGGGTGGGCTTTTTTGTGATTGATTCATTGTACAATGCTAGGATTAAGGGTGCTGAGATTAAGGGTGAGTGACTGCTGGAACAATTCACTGACTAAACTGGCACTGCCCTAATCCCAGCAGTCTGGATAAGATAAAATGGACAGAAAGAGGCTTGTCCCCCGACTTTGCTCTTGTTGCTTGTTATGTCTTTCTTGGCCATGAATGGCTGCTTCTCTGCCATGAGCCACCTTGCCATGGAGCCAGCAAATTATGGATTGGAAACTCTACAAACTGTGAGCTAATTAAACCTTTCCTCCCTTAACTTTGGGTGTCAGGTATTTTGTCCCAGCAACAAGAAAATTAACTAAGACACAGATATAGGTAAGAATGATAACACATTTAAGATAATAGTTATGTCTTGGAAGATGAATTAGTTATCATGGTGCATAACAAATTAACAAATTATACCCTTCAAATTCAGAAGCTTAAGACATTTTCAGGAATCCAGAAATGGCTTAGCTATCTTCTACTTCAGAGGTTGTCATGAGGCCACAATCATGTTGTTGGCTGGGGACGCAGTCTCATCTGAAGACCATCAGGGAGGATCTGCTTCCAAGTTCATGCACATGATTGCTTTCAGGACTCAGGTCTTTCTGGGTACTGGACTCAGACCTCAGCAGCTGGTGACTGGAGGCCTCCTTTGATTCCTTGCCATGTGGGCCTTCCCACAGAGCCCCTTACAACATGCCAGTAGGCTTCATCAGAGGGAGCATGTGACAGTATTAGCAGAACGGAAGTCACAACCTTTTGTAACCTGGTAAGAGAAACGACATACCATTATTTTGATCATATTTTATTTCTTTAGAACCCAGTCACTAAATCTAGTCTACATTCAAGAGGAGGGGATTTCACAAGGGCTTGGCTACCAGAAGATCGGGATCCTTGAGGGGCATCTTTGAAAGCTGCTAGTAGAAGTACAGCATGCTCACTGTTTGTAGTTTTTATTCCATAGTCAGCTGGCTCCAATGTAGGGCAGTAGAGCAGAAGGGAATAGCCAGGAAGAGCTGCTCATGGGAAGGCTGTGGAAGGAGAGAGAGAGAGAGAGAGAGAGAAGGCAAGGGGAGGGGAGGGGAGGGAAAGGGAGAGGAGAGAAAGGGTGACAGAGAGATGGAGAGACAGAGACAGAGAAAGAGAGAGAAAGAGAGAGAGAGGGAGGAGAGGAGAGAGAGAGGGAAAGAGAGAGAGACAGAGACAGACAGACAGAGAGACAGACAGAGAGAGAGACAGACAGAGAGACAGAGGAGAGAAGAGGAGAGGGCAGACAGAGGGAAAGACAGAGAAGAGAGGAGAGGAGAGGGAGGGAGGGAGAGAGATCAGTAAAAGGAGGAGTGAAGAGATGAAGAGATAAACCCTTCCACGCTGCACCCCTAGTGACCCATCTCTTCCTTCCGGATACCACTTCCTAACAGGAACTCAGCTATAAGCCCCTATGATCCAATTACCTCCCCAAAGCCCCACCTATACAAGTACATGAGGCTTTGGGGAGACTTTTAAATATAAACCATAACAACACTCCTAATTGAAGTATGATTTTCCTCTGTTACAAAATTATCTTTTGGTTGAGGCATTATGTCCAGGATCTTTCTACTAAAATAATGTTGAAATGAAACTATGTTCACTTCAGCACAGTTGTCCTTCAGCGCCTGCTTGTTAACCTTTTTGAACAAAACGAACAAACAAAAAAACCCAATAACCTTTTTGAAGGATAGTGACCTCTTTGAGAATTCCAAGAAACTTGTTGTTATCCCACCTCCAAATGCATAACATTTTACAATTTCAAACCATGATTCATGAACTTCCTAGAAAAAAACTTCTACTTCTTTTTCTATGAAAGATTGAATTAGGGTATTGAGGGAACAAATCGCTATTCTTGTACATTTTCAGGTTGAGAGATCACAGAGCAGAGACAGTGACTTGGAAGAGAGAGCACAACTGGGAGATCAGAGAATTAAGTAGGCGGAGCATTTGAATGCACAAAGGCCCTGAGGAGCCCTGAGGTAGCCTCATGAGTGGATGCACCTGAGTCAATTGGACCGAAGGAGAACTGGGAACAAAGAAGAGGCTCACAGGGTAGAGAGAATCAGGATGTTTTGGAAGCTTATGAAAGAACAACATAATTTAAACTGCCACTTAAGTGTATGTTTGGATTTTCCTTTCTAATCTTGATATTGGAAGTGCAATAGCAATTGTAATAGTTGTAGTTGGTGAAAATTTCATTTTCAAAACCATTAGGAAGTTCTAGGTGAGTCTGGAAACCTTAGGCATTATTACTCACATCCAGAAAGGGTGGTAATTAATATGTGCTCAGAATGCAGATTTCCCTTGTAATACTGGCATGCTTTATGACTGCTCTGTTCATGATCCATGCAGTAGAATAAAATCCATCACTTTAGGACAAACTGTTAATAGCTTCAGGGGGTGACAGCTGTGTGTTCCTTCTGTACAACTCAGAGTGGTATCTTCCCTAGTCCCAAAATAGTAATTATGAACTTGTTGCAGAAGATTCAGTTTGATGAAGTAAACCTGGAATAAATGCCAAATATAGTACATGACCCTTGTTACCACCACCAAATTCTCGCTCCCTTTCTTAAGAAAACATGCCTATGGTTCTACTGAAGATCTCTTCTTAAGAACTGGCATGCTAATCTTACGCTCTTCTCTTGGGAAAGAAAATGATTCCAAGACATATCTTACTTTGTTTGCTCTTTAGGCCCAGAATCACAGAACATGCTATCTGGAAGGGTTATGGGTCTATGCTGCTTCTCTTCACAATCACTTTAATTCCCCAAAATGAACTCTTGACTTCTTTGAACTTCTTAGAAGAGAAACTGAAAAGATGAATCTGTAGGAAAATATATGTAGCCACACTGTCTCATACTATGTTTATTCCCGCAAACCCATTCTCTTCACAAAGTGAAGCCTTTGTAGTATCCATAAAGGAGGGTCTTAAACAGGCTCTGAAAGGATTTTGAAGTTCTCCTTAAAAGTTCACAGAAATAGGATTTACCAAATGTTCAAAAATAATTATGATGAATCACAATTGTGAAGAAATGGTTTTCTGTCTTTATTACAAGGTTATTTTTAAAGTGTTTCTTCGTGAATCATACAAAATAAGCAATTGCAAAATAAACTGTCATCTTCATAACTACGTCTGAGAGAGGGAAACTAGAGTTAAAAAAAGAAAACCAATATTTTAATTGAAGAATACTTTCTGCACAGTAAAAGCAATGATACAGCAATGGAAGAAACAACGTCCTTTCTAAATGCAAATTACATCATTATTAAATAATGCTGTTATTAAATTTTGATTTAATTTTTATTCATAGCAAAGCTCTAAATTAACTTGGTAAAATGGCAAGCCCTTATAGATTATTCAATACCTTTAGAATCAAAGCAGCAAATTATTTTAGTTCATGAAACTAGAATCAATTCTTTTGAGACAGACATTCATGATGGAGTTTATTCTCTGTCCAGAATTACAAAGTGAAGCAAGTAATAGTGAATAGTCCCCCATACATCAACACCACACGTTTCCTTTGTTAAATAACTATTGAAAGTATTTTGTTAAGAGAATGTTACCTCTACCCATGTCCTTTTGTTCTTAGCACTACCACGAATATCAGACATCTAGTTATACTGACATTTATATTCCCGGCACAGTTGAGTTGGAGGGCATTCAGAGCTTAGCGAACAGCGCTGAGAAGTTACAATTATGACAGTCCTCACCATTGTAGATGTTTCTCCCACAACAGTTCACATTTCTAAGAGCACCTATCAAGTGCACTATAACATAAATCACATGTCTATGTTTCCTGTTAGACAGTGAACTGCCTGAGGGCAGAGAAATGCTTTTTAACCTCTAGTATTCTCTAACACAGGGCCTTTTACATAATAATAATGATAAAGATAATGATAATATTAATCCTTTTGAACACTTACTATGTACCTCACCCTATATCCTAAGCACTTTACATGATTAACTCAATCCTTTTAACAACCCTGTGAGGGAGGTTCTATTTATACACATTTATAAATGAGGTACCTAAAGGGTGGGTAGCTTGTCCAAGCTCTATACACTAAGCGAGCTGCAGAGCCAGGATTGAAACCCAAGAAGCCCAGCTCCATAGTAAGGAACTTAACCTCTAAAAGTATGTTCTGCTGCCTAGAGTTTATGCTTAATAATTTTCAAGGTAAATGTTTACATGACTTTTCTCTAAGTATGTACTGGGCTATAAAAATGTAGTCTTTCAAAGAAGCTGCCTGGGGATGCTACCATTGTTCAAAATCTTTTGCAATTCCTTCTTTGGAGTTGTTTTCAGAGCCGGTTGATAAATAACAGAAGAAAAGTAGTCAATATATTATGATCATAGCTCATTTAAAAATAAACACAAGGCTGGGAGTGGTGGCATATGCCTGTAATCTCAGCACTCGGGAGGCAGAGGCAGGAGAACTGCTGTGAGTTTGAGGACAGCCTGGGCTACAATAGTGAATACAAGGCCAGCCTGAACTACATAGCAAGATCCTATTGCAAACAAAACAAAACAAAACAAAAAACTACAATGTTATTCAGCTTGATAAATGCCTTATTTGCCCATATTTTTTCCAAAAACATTCTCCATTAAAAGAATAAAGATTTGTTATTACTGAAGATCGTCCAAAATGTGATACAGAAATAGGTTTCAACCAGCTGACAAACATTTACTGAGCAAGTATTTCTATATGTGCTTAGTTCTAGAAACACAAAAGTCAAACAAGATACCTGTCATACTTTCAGGGAGCACCAGCCAGACAAAGGAGAAAGACAGTTCAGAGTGACAAGTGCTTTTGACATACATAAGCACAGGATTTCACATGAGCCCAGAAAGGCAATATCAAATCCAGCCTTCAGGGCCAGCTTGCTAAGGGAAAGAAAGGATCTCTAACTTCAGTCCCACATGACAACCAATTGAATGAAGGCATGGCTTCTTATGGTGAGTACATTAAAGCAGGTCTATATCTTTGGATAGGTACATCCTATCATGTTTATTTTTAAAAGATAATAATCACATCGTTTTATAGTCATATCACATACTCAAGTTGTTTCTGCTTTTAAATAAAACCTGGGAAAGATTTGTTGATGTTAGCATAAAAACTGCCTTAGTTTTAAGTATGTTTGAGTATTATTCGCTTTTGTTACTGAAACACTTACAGAATTTCTCTAAAGAATTTTGTTGAGGAAGTAAACAGAAAAATCAATATCCTAAGGCATTAATTGTCAGAATCTACCACTGTGGGTGAATACGCCTTGTATACAGTAGGCACCTAATGACTACTTTTTGGATAAAGAAATAAATCCATAATACTGATTCTTCATACTTTAAACATTTGTATTTTTACTTCCTGTTAGCCAAATAGGACACAATAATAACTCATGGAGATAAAGGACTGCTTTGGCAGAAGCTTCTGCTTCTCTCAACGCATCTATTTGAAAGCAAGTAATTTTGAGGGTTTTTTTGGGTTTTTTTGCAGTAGTGGGGATCGAACTCACAATCTTGCGCTTGCCTGGCAGGCGTTTATGCCACTGAGCTATACCCCCAGCCCCAAAAGCAAGTAATTTTGAACTATGAGGGGTGGAGGATATGGCCACCTAAGAAAGGACTGCCTTATATTTTTGTGGCTTGCCTGTCTATAAAAATCAACAACCCTAGGGTTACACAAAACCGTCCTTGGAGAGAGTGAAAGATCTTGAGAGGTAGGTAAATGTTGCCCAACACT